TGGTTATGTCTGATAGCTCTGGGAGTGTCCTTCCTCGATCCGAGCAGTGGGAGAGAGAATGACACAACCATCCTGATCGAGCAGCAGCCAGAGTTTGACTCCTGAATGGAATCTGTGTTTCAGAGTTCATTAACATCATCAAGTGCAGCTTTTAGCAACCTGCCTGACCTTTCACACACAGTGTCCTTGAGTGCAGATTCATTTATATTAGACGTTTCAAATGAAGTTTTGTATGAATGGTGCTATAGATATTTTTATTTAGTAATCAAGAATCTGTTATTGTAATTGTCTGTATCCTTAGTACTGATTATACAAAACAAGAATAGTTTTGCCAAACTGACCGGTTTACAGGTGTGAAGTTCATTTCACAGAATGACATATAATACAAAATTCTGCTGTATCTCAAGGGGTCTGCAGGTTCTTCTTCTGCAAGATAAATTTAAGACTTTTAAGATCATGTTAATGCTGCATAGAATGCAATCTAATGGTGACTGATTGATCGGTCAGCCGATTAATTGGGCACTCAGAAAGCTTATACGTCACCCTAAATGACAGCAGATCTAATCTAAAACCATTACTGGCTAGCATTGAATATGTATTGTTATACTGTAGAGAATTATGCAGCTGAATGACACTATTGACAAATTGTACCCCACTCTCCCTTAAACACCGGCCACGTTCTGAAGGCTACAGCAGTACCCAATGTATTTTTCTATTTCATTCATTAATAATAATTAAAAAAAACCATCTAAAACAACATATTACTGGTTAACATGTATATCAGATTGTACTATGCACTATGTACTATAATGGCATTATAAATGATTTTCCTTTGTTTTGATATCAGCATTACCTCCCCTGCTCTCTAAATATTGGCATCAGGCATTGAAAAACCCATATTTGTCAACCACTACAATTTGATACCTGTTTCATGATCATACCAACCAAAATATGAAAGTATCCTGTAAAACCAGTGGAGACAACCTAGATGCAACCTATTTTTTATTATATGAATTTTTCAATACTTTCAGCAGCATATATTTGCTAATTATATAAATAATTAATTTAATGTGTCATGGGCTTGGACAACCAATTAAAAAATATATTTTTTTACATGCAGTAAGTTTTTACTAATTCAACAGTTGCCCATTGTGACACAGTAAGCATCCTAGCTGGAGTAGCTAGCTGTAGTGACAGTGTTAGCTGCAGGTCTGAGTGGTCTGACTAAAGGATTGAACAGCCCGCTGCAGCACAGTCCACTGTCACAACAATCTCACTTTTAGTTTATAAGTGTGTAACATCTCCCCACAGCCTGAAAGAGAAAATATTCAAGATAAATTGAAAGAAAGACTTTTTAAGACCTTCTTGAGGCCTTTTTTGAGGAAACTGAATTCAGTGTTTTTACAGATACCCTGCTACCCCCATGCGGTTTCTCTTTTGGCCACAGGGAGACAGTGCAGGCCAGAAAAGAGACTGCCCAGATACAGTAAACGGCTCACCAACAGAGCTGTGCAACATAACACAACAGATTAAATGCCATGGTGCATTACATCACGTTTTACGTGTTGTTATGGCTGCACAGAAACAGCATTATTGTATAAAACAAACCAAAAGAAATGCAGTGATACAATGTGACTGAAACATTTCTGTGTGTATATTCAGATATGGCTGGTGTTTGACATGTTTGTGGTGGTGGTATGTCTGAAGAGTTGCAACTATTGTGTAACTGCAAGCAAGAACTGCTTGTTTCAGTATTGCTCAAATTCCAGTCCTGAAGTGCTTCAGCCTTTGCAAGCCGAGTAAAGGCGGACGGACAGGTTTTTCTTTGCATTGTGGCGGGGAAGTTTTTTTTCTCCCTGTCATGGAGGGAGAGTTATGTAAGAGGGGAGAGTCTTCCCACCGCCCCTCTCTGTTTTTGTTTTTCTCAATGAGCCAATGTCTCCCTGCCTAGGCCTCACAGCCTGTCCAGTAGGCCCCTTTCCTGGAAACATAGCCTAGCAGAGGCCACTCAGGGGCAGGCCTGCGAGGTGGGAGGGGAGGGGAGGAGGAGGGGAGGGGAGGGGAGGGGAGAGGAGGGGGCTCTTCCAGCAAATCACATGATTGTAGACCCTACAGTCCCAGCCCTACATGAGGCTCAGATGCTGCAAGCACATTTCAACAGCTAGTTTGTCATCAACATGATTGGATGTAGCTAATGCATGGCAGAGTTGTAAGTAGGCGCCTTGGATTCCCAGGTGTGAAAAGCAGAAATAGAACCACAACGCCTGATGGATAGAATGTATGTGTGTGCTTGCGTCTGTTAGAGGTTAACGTGATTGGTTTATTTGTCATTAATGTCAACATCACCACAGATTTTTTACTATTACTATAACTTAATGAACAGTATTTGTAGAATATTTCTGAATCTTTTCTTGGGGGTGGTGGGGGGCTGACATTTGGCCTCAGTAATATGATCGGAGCTATTTTAAGGGTGTTGTATTTGTCTATTTTTCTATGTGTCAGTTGATGACATGGAACAGATTAACAGACTAACTCACTGATTTATTTTTGCAAAAGATATTCATGGAACATTTGTTATAGCAGAAAGCACCATGTAGTTTTATTACTTGCGGCTTACAGTAACTGACTGATTTAATGAGTTGTCATCATAAAAATCAATAAATGTAATATTGAATTGTAAACAAACAGCTCAACTGAACCAACACAATAAAGCACAACACTGAATTACAGGAACTGACTATTTAATCACACGTGTTATGTCTTCTTTTCATATTCTTCCTTTTTCTTTTCACTCTCTGTGATTCAACATTGACACATTTCTGGTCTCAGGTTTGAAATGTGCTGCACTCTTGATTTATTTCTTCTCTCACCACATGTTATTTTGACCTGCCTGTGCATTAGTTCTGTTGACAGATGAAAGATGGATGCAGATTTAATATGTATCTGATGTTTTGTCAGTCATATTTTTTGAACAGATTTTCCAGGGGTACAGCTGCAGCACCCTTAATACTCAGCCCAGGGCCTCAACACCGGTTGGCCCCTTTGCACTTTCTGTCTGCCTATTTGTCTTCTCAGAGGAATGCACATGCAGCATTACCATAAGAAGAGGGCACAACTCACCAGAGAGCAGGCAAAGATAATGAATTTCTACTTGATTTAGTAAACAGTGGCATCATCTGTAAACCACACGACATTTTCCAGCTGTGCGGTCCATACTTATTCTGTATATATTTTTACACAGATCTGTCAGTGCTGCCTTAAAATGTCCGACACCAGGAATGCAAACAGCGGGGCCATTCTTGTTTATGTCTTGCATTGTGGCCACTGTGGGTACTGGCTGAGCTTGTGGTGTAATGGGCCCACATGTGTTTGGAATGGAGAGACTATTTCAGTCGTGTAGTTATTCCTTTATTAACAAGTTTATTTTACTGTTTCTCTCTGTTTTTTTTCAGTTAATCAGTATTATGGACGGATGCAGTTTGTGTTCTCCACATCAGTTGTGCTGTTGATAAATTCCACTTCACAGTTTTTCACCGTGCATTACAGCAAAGGGATCACTGTGATTTCTCAGAGGTTTCTGAACTTTCGGAGGATGAGGAGGCGCTGCAGAGCCTCCATGCTGTAAATATAAATATCTGGGGACGCGCTGGTTGACCACATGATGTCAAACCCACTTGTATTTATTTGAACAAGGTAAAATAAATGTGTTTTAGTTCTGGCTGCTCAGCAAATCACTATACTCAGTGTAGTGAAAAATTATTGTAAAGTACACAGGATTTGCCTTCAGCTGAATACAACTTATTTATTTATTTTAAAAACAATAGAAACTGCAACTGTTTGTGTATTTATTTCTAATTAATCACTGGATTTAGACCTAAATAGTTACTAGTTTAAGTTATAACAGAGTTGAATAAATATTATGATACTTTTACATGATGCAACCATCATTTAATGTTTATGACCTCTAGTTTTGCAGTAAAATAACTGCATTAGAGCCTGCCTGAGTTGTTGCACACATGTTCAACACAGTGGTTAGTTTCATTTTTACTGTTGTGTCAGTAGAGGGGGAAGAAAAAGGAGAGAGAGAAAATGAAAGGAGCCTGGGTCATTGGTTTCACTCTGCCCTCTGTTACCTCCACACAGAGAGTAGCCAACTACTGAGGGACAGTTACCATGTTGTCCTGCATAGAGTTTATAAGTTTATATCTTATGGATATGTAGACTTAGGGATGCATCAGATGAAGAACAACTGGAAACATCTGGGAGTCATATGCATTATAGGTAGGCTATAGTTTAATTAGTTACAGATTAATTTTAAGTATTAGAGACACTTCTACTTCGTCAGTAATGCTGTAGGCTATATTTGATGTTTCTGACAGAATATATATTTTAACAAGCCTGTTATTTATGTTGTTTTTGCTTTCCCTACTAGATCCTTCAGATGTTATGATATCGCAAGTTTACACACAAAATCGCGAATTTTAGGCTTATAAAATATTGCCAAGCACAAACATCGCAGGTAAAGATGATTTACATTATTTTGGGCGTGGATAACTGAATTATTATGACTGAAATTTAATAGCATCACAATCTCTACCTCTTCTGATACGTTTAATGAAGTTGAACAAAAAAAACACACAAAAAATGCAGAACACAAACAAAACTTGTAAACAATAAAAATAGGCTATTAAAAAAAATAAAAGAAAACAAACGTTTTAAACTACAAAATGACGTCCTAGCTTACAATTTTAGAGAAAGGACACACGTCTGTCTTTATTTATATGCTAATTAGGTTGCATTTGTTTGTTTATTTTATAAAATAATAATGTACAAACAATGTGAGCTCATCTGAACGAGCAGCGCTGGAATGTATTCGCTGCGGAGCGTGCAGGACTGGGAGGAATGCCTTGACCACGCCCCTCCTCCCTGGCGTCCAATCAGGGAGAAGAGACGGTTTCAAGGCGCCCTCGGAGTCCCAACCGTAGAAAAACAAAGCCTCGGATAACAACAAAACTCATATTTTACATTTAACTCCACACGGGAATCTGTTCACTTGTGTCGGACCCGACTGTAGTGAACGATTCCCGGTGTTTTCCGTCGCCCTTAAAGGCATTTCTGGCGATGTTGTTTATCTGTAGTAAGGGGGGGCTTGAAACCGCCCTCCCTTGCCCCATTTCCTCGGTTGTTTTCCTTCTCTCGCCTGGATTCTCCATGTTGTTGGTGCAAGAGTGAAGACTTCGCAGCGACGGGTGAGGGGGGCTGCTCAGCGATATTACCAGTAATAGTCGCGGTAAACCCGAGACGACGGGGCTGACATTCTCAAATAGCCTGCAAAAAAACATATCCAAAGTGCCTTGCCCCCTCCCCAGGCGGACCTCCGAAAGAAGAACAAGAAGAAGAAGAAGAAGAGCGGCGGCGGTGGGGGAATAAAGAAACCCAGGAACAAGATAAATCCTACTCTCATCGGGGATTTGTAACTGAGGCGGATGACAAGAGTTACCTCGGCGAATACTTGAGTCTATTTGTCAATAAAACCCAATGAGGGATGCCCATCAGTGCTCGGGGACAGGATTTGAGGATTTTGAGGGCTCCGTGATTGTCAGATGGAAAGTTCTGTTATCACCCAAGTGCAGAAAGAAGACGTTCAAGTGTCACCGAAAACAGGTGAGATGGGCCTGTGTTTATATGCTTTTTCAGTGTTATAATATTTGCCTCCCGTGGTGCGGTATTATTTGATTATCTTCAGAAGAATGATCCGGGTGTTATTGAGAGCCTGTAGTGCGCCCATTTGACAGTTGAGCGCTGCGGACGCTGGTTGAGCGCGGTTCGAGTCGCACTACCCCCCTTTTTTTAAACGAAGCAAATCAGTAATATTTAGATCAAATCACATGAAATAAAATGTGTGTGTAAATTAAAGCGACGGAGCCTGATACACCACAATGTGCTTATTTGCTGAATATATTTTGAACGGAAGCTGCAACCTTAGTTTTTTTTTTTTTTTTCATTCCATCGATCACCTGCAGATCATAAAGCACACAACTGTTAGAATAAACATATAAGACTGAACAACATCCAGCACTCAGAGGGCGAGATTATTATGTAGCTCACCTTGCTTTAAGTTGTTATTGAATCGAATATAAGGTCAACTATAAGTTCACAGTCTCCATTACGCACCAGGTTTGCCATCTGGAGCTTGGCTATTGTTGATCCTGTTTTTTTGTCTTTTTTTTTGCCGCGTGTGCTCTTTTTGTGCAAAAATCTGTTGTCGCTTCTTAACATGTGGTGTTGTGATCATCGCTCAGTTCTTCTTCATTTAGTGCTGCTGGTTGATCGTGGCCAGACCCCCCCCCCCCTCCAAAAAAACTGCCGTGTATTTATGTCGATCAGGTTCCAGCTTGTTTGGCACCATCCCATGTCCTACTACAGTGTTCTTCCAGGTACAGCATGAGCAGCCCGTCTGTCACCACAGGCAGCACCACAGTTCAGTGTAAACCAAGCTGTTTTGCTCATTTAAAAACTATGGTGTGGTGTTTTGTTCATTTTTATTTATTTTTTATTTTGTGGGGGGGGGACTGCGCTGCTGTAGCATTAAAGGAAGGCTGCTGCACTGTTCCCACATTATTATTTCACTGCACAAACAAACAGCACAGGTTCTGTGTTGAATCATAATGCATTTATAAGCTGGTGGGTGTAAAGGAGGACCAGAGTGGCTGTTGATTAACAAGAGGGCTGTATACCAGGTGCCGCGGTGTTGACAGCGGAATGCACAAACACACCCCTCTGCACACGCCCATTGTAGCGCCGTTTCAAAGATTCCGTTGTTTGCAAGCTTCCCTTGGTCTTGAAAGAGGCTTCCCTCATTGATTCAGGCTCACTACTTGAGTGTTAATCTCGTGCATATTGCATGAGTGCAGGTACTGATGCGGTGCTTTTTGCACCGCATCAGTACCTGCAAGTGTGTCAAGTCAAGTGTGTGTACAAAATATAATTCAACATGTCCACAGTGGGGTTTTTTTTTGTTGCTTTTTGTCTTGCATGTGTAATGAAGTGGTGGATTTGTCTGTAGGACTAATCTGCTGCTGTTTTTCTATCCTTTTACATGCAGGGGAGATGTAGTGTATGTGTTATGTCATACATGAATATACTGTTGTCCTGTGGGAAATCAATTGGCTGACTTATACTGACAGGATCCTTGTTAATGGGATACAAATCAAGTGGATTGTATTGATTATTGTATCTTAATAAATTCAGGGGGGTTGGGGGGGCTAGACTAATGAAGGACATCTGAGGAATTACCAAATCACGCTCCGGTTTCCTTTGTCTCTCAAACATGGTGTTGTGTAACATGGACATTGGTGGGTCTGCATTATGTCTTCAGAGGGTCAGCGTGAACACTGTGGATTGTAAGAAACAAATGTGTAAATGTGCTAGCGTACAGTTGGCTGGCACACTTTCATGACTTTGTGTATCAACTGTTCTTATCTCTAAGAAGGACTGAGAGTGTTTACAGTCTGTAATGAAAGTGTATTGATGGTATTAATCCTGCATTGTTTGCAAGTCCTCACACGAAACACACTAGAGGGGACTTGAAGGAATGTTTTTTTTTTTTCTCCCTTTCTTTCTCCACGGCTACTCCTATGGGGCCAGGACGCTCACCGTTACAGTGGCTGATCAAAGACCTGCACAGAGCACTGAGGTGTGACTGCTTGTCCGGCTCACTGACTGCCTGGCTGTCTTGTCAGGCTGTTCTGGCTAGCTTCAGACAGCCCTGAAATGTCCTGGAGTTTAAAATGGTTGGAATGTTTTCTGTCTGTGTTTTCGGTTGAAGGTACTGCCGAAAAGTGTGGGTTTTCCCGCCCTCTGTGATTATATAACATGTACCAGCCATTTCCAGCAGCAGCAGCAGCAGCAGAGGAAGGCGCATTAAAAACAGATTTCATGTGCGGGCTGTGCCATTACTATAGACAGATGGACGGTGCCTTTTAGAAAGGAGAAGCTCATTCTTTACAAGTAGCTTATTCCTAATTATGCTGAATTTCCTTTATGGATTAATATGTGATTGATTTCAATAAACAACAACCCCCCCAGGTATTTTAATTCCTGTATTGTTTGTATCAAGATTTTTTTGTGTGTGGAATAAAAAAACATTAGATTATGTGTACCTGACGTGAATTGTGGCGTGTAATTCAAGCCCCCTACTTTATATTTCCGTGTCGACTACATGGAGTTTTGCTTGGTTTTCTCATGAAAGTCCTTCTTTCTCTGTGCGAAACAGGCCAGGTGAGCCGGTCTGCCCTGAAACAGCCTCGGAGTTGTAACATCTTCAAAGCACTCTTCTGTTGCCTCCAAGCTCAGGATGGCCCCAAACCGCCACCACCAACGCCACCACCTTCCCAGCAGGCCTTGCTGGAGTCACAGGAAAATGGGACTGTTGTCAAGGTAACACTGTTCTTCGTAATATTTCACACCACCGAAAACAATTCGAAGACCTCAGTTCAGCCCTGCCTTTATTTTTGTTTATTTATGATTTTACTTCCTTGACGCACGCACACACACACACACACACACACACACACACACACACACACACACACACACACACACACACACACACTGCTTGCCAAAAAATAGAAGGCGTTTAAAAAGTTTGGCCATCTGTAGGAATAAACTAAACACACTGTCGTAAAAATGTGCTTATTATTGTCTTCAAGCGTTATTTTATTTGTTTTACAACTGCACACTAAAACCGCTGCTGCACCTGCTCTGAACGTCTTGAAAGCTAACCGCAACTGTCTGCGGATATGGAATCACTTTGATGTTCACACTTGATCCCCCAAGGAAGATAAGAACGACAGAGAGACTATCAATCCTTCAGGCAGACGGTCGAGAGCGAGCAGAGAATGGTGTATTGTGTGCTTCGTAATTGCTGAGGTGGAGAAAAAATAAAGCCTTGAGGGCCTGCTGCACACGGATGGCCATGCTGGTGAATGCTGTCAGCCTGATTAGAGCTTCAGTAGCATGTAAGGGGCATTTTAATGAGATGCCATGTTTGTTCACATTGAGGTGTGTCCTCTAGCATCAGGAGCAAACAGGAAGCAGCATCTGTAAGGCCTGGATATTGTCTGCCAGGCTCCCACCGAAATGAAACCAAATTATACGTTTGCGTCAATAGGGTTGTGTTGCATTGGGTTTATTGTTTAGTTGATGAAAGAAGATTGTTTTTGCTCATGGATATTATGTTTCTCAATCTTAATATGCCTTCCTCGATGGATAAGCTATTTACGTTATGTAATATATTAATAATTGAAGTTAGTTTGATTGTGCTCATAAAGATCAGAGGATGAACCAAAATTAATAAAAGGAGAAAACTGGATTTCTAAAAATTAGCTCATATAAGGTAATGTGCTCTCCCTGCAGTTGAATGCCTGTAGAGATGCGTTTGGGAAGTATAATGGAAGAATAAATATGCTAATCCTAAAGATAGGCAACATAGAAGCTGTTACAGTAAATAACGAAGCCCACTCCTTCAGCCACCCACACATATATGCCCCTCTTAAGAGTCTTATCTAATTTCCCAGAGGGAAAATCAAATTGCCAAGGTCTGATTTTCATATGAATCACTGTACTATCAGGACTAATCATGTCCCGTAGCTATAAACACAGCACAGACAAGACAAATGATATAGGTGTGTGTAGGACAATACCATTAAAACAAGTTTTTGTGTGTCACCTTAGCAATATGAACCCAGTCTCCTGCCTGAGGTAGAGGCCCAGGACCAAGGGAAGATATGTGTGGTCATAGACCTGGATGAGACCCTAGTGCACAGCTCATTCAAGGTACGCCATCAGTCATTTAATCACTAAATAAGCTTCTTTATGTCAACACTAGCATTTGCCTCATTTCAGTATGTTTGGTATTGTTGTTTGACTTGTGATGTTACATCAGTTTGAGTGAAAGCTTCTTCAGATTCAATGATGTGATGTCGATACATGTGATGGCAGCTTGTAGCATTGGTGCATTGGTCTTCTTCTTCTGTGATTGTTTATTATTCCGTAGCAGGCTTTCTTCACTAAAACAGTCACATGTATTTGAGGAACATACAGTGTATTATTTTCTGTTTGTGTTGGCTTTTTTACTGTGATTTATGGCAGCAACGTGAAGTCTGTTTCTAAATGTTCAGTTATGTAACGCCATGTGAATGTACACAGCGCAGCTCATGTGAATGAGCATGCCAACCATCTCCCTCTGTGTTCTTCCCTGCAGCCTATTAGTAATGCAGACTTCATCGTGCCTGTGGAGATAGAGGGGACCACACACCAGGTAAACTACTGTGTGCTGTGTGTTTGCTGTAGAGGGGAGGGGGGGGCTGTGTGTTTGTGTATGTATGTTGATGTGTTTGCAGCGGTTGCTGAGCTGAAAAGGGATGGGTCTTGTAACTGATCAGCCAGGGTTTGCTATGACAGGCGAACGGAGCCCTCTACTGACCAGATGTTGAACAGGGAGTCGTAAGTGGAAGTGGATGCATCAGCAAGAAAATGAATCATTTCTGTTGAGTTCATCTAAAATATCATGAATAAGTGATACAGTACATATTACTGCCTCTGTGAAGATGTTAAAAAACTTGCTCAAATAGCACAGTGTACTGGACAATTTGTTCAACTTGGCTGTAGAGCTTCTCACTATTGGACATGTGGAAATGTAATTAACTGAGAAATGTGATTCCTGGGACCCCATGTGCTAGTACGCGATCCTCTGGGGGCCTCTGCCTGGTTCAAGTAATCCAGGATAGGCTGGTTAACACTGGCACGGCCTATTCTTGATTACTTGTTTCAGGAACTGGCCATTAGCAGCAATCAGATGGGAATAATAAGTTGATGGTACACATTTATTGAAGTGACAGTTACATAGTCCTGTAAGTCAGACTGTTTCCTGATGGCCTATTTGTTTCACAGGTGTATGTGCTGAAGAGGCCGTATGTGGATGAGTTCCTGCAGAGAATGGGAGAGTTGTTTGAATGTGTGCTGTTTACAGCCAGTCTCGCAAAGGTACTTTACATCAGACCCTGAAATAGATCTTCATATTATTCAGCACAAAGTATATGTTGTTTCTTGTAATGTCTGATCTATCAGATGTTGTTCTGCTTTCTCTCGCCTTTTTTAGTTCTCCTTTTACAGTGATAGCAGCTACTTGACATGGTGTTAGTCACCTTAGTAGACACCCTCCTCATGTTTAAAGCCATAATTTGTTTCCTTGCTCATTGCACCAGCTATTTGTAAGTTCAAAAACTTACAAGGGATTAGTTAGTGGTGATATACGCGTAACTAAATTTAAATGTGTTGCACCGCACACACTAGATAGTTGTTACTAAATATTTACATATATAAAGTACCAGGTGTAACTGCTAGGGAGCTATCTGAACTGACAAGTTTTAGCCTGCTAACATTTGACCTGGTTACATTCAAGATAAAGAGGACATATTGTGGGTCGACATGTCTGACTTACACTTGATAACTATCTATGTTACAGCTTGTGATGCTACAATGATTCCTTAAGTTTTATTGGTGCAGCCCAGTTTAGTAAACCCCGCGTTCGACAAGCAGTACCTTAGAACTACAGACTCAAAATTTAGGAATGGATTTACGAATGGCTAGTGTAACCTAATCCAGATGAGCAGATTTTAGATGTGTGATGCTATTTCTTAGCTATTTGCCTTACAAATCCCTGCTTTTCCCCCACCTGCTCCCCACACCCCCTCACCTCCATCAGTACGCAGACCCGGTGACGGACCTGCTGGATCAATGTGGTGTATTCCGAACCCGGTTATTCCGGGAATCTTGCGTATTCCACCAGGGCTGCTATGTCAAAGATTTGAGCCGCCTGGGCAGAGACCTCCACAAAACCCTCATCCTGGACAACTCTCCTGCCTCCTACATCTTCCACCCTAATAATGCTGTGAGTTTTGATCTGTCTCTTTGTGTTGCAAATAGCTTTGACAATTGTGATGAATAATATTGATATCCGTTGTTCAAAAGTCGTGGCACCTGCTCTTAGACCTCAAGCTTATGGAGGCCTGGGGAAAATGGTGGGAACACCGTGGGACAAGAAACTCATGCAAACGATAACTTGTTTAAACTAAAGCCTAAATCTTATTTTCCCCGAGATGCTGGAGGTCTGGCAATATGAGATTAGCTCTTACAAAATGATAAATCACACATTACTTACAGAATTTAAGTAGTTGTCAAACTACTACAATTAGTTAAATGAATTAGAATAGATTCCTAGTTTCATTATGGCTGCAACTAATGATTATTGCAATCAATGAGAAATCTGCAGGTAATTTACTTGATTTATTGTTTTATATTTGCTATGGAACAAATGATTGACAAATGCCCTGAAATTTCCCTGAGCCCAAAACCCAAAGACATTCAGTTTATTATCATATATGATGAAGAAAAGCAGCAGAACCTGTCATTTGAGAAGCTGAAAACAGAGAATTTTTGGCTGTTAGTTTCCAATTAATTTTCTCTTATTGACAAATTGTTTCAGTTATAATCCGGATTTACAGAAATGTACACTGCACATTTAGGACTGATTAAAATTTGTACACCTCTGGTTAAATATGTATTAAAACACAGCTTTGGTCCGGAACTGTATGCGCCAGGTGCAGTTTATACAATATGTGATTTTTATTTAATTTTATCCATGGTTCATAAAAGCCAGCAGTTTTTGAGTGATTGCTTGTTTTCGTCAGGTCCCTGTGGTGTCATGGTTCGACGACGTGGACGACTCTGAACTGCTCAACCTTCTGCCTGTGTTCGAAGAACTTAGTCAAGTTGATAATGTTTACACCGGGCTGGACCAGCTTCGTGGACATTAAGCTCTCAATGGACCAGCTCAGCTCCTGTTTGAACTCCAGCTTGTCTTCAACTACAATAGAACCATATATCGGGATTAGATACTAGAGTATTCAGACGCTGTTCTTCTAGCCTCTGCACAAAATCCTCAGTTTAGAAAATTGTATTATCATGGGGTTAAGGAAATTCCAAGCCTGGAAAACACAATGTGTTTGACTCAACTGAAACTATAGATTGCAATCTGAGGCCTTTCCTCTGAACCTCAGTGCTGACATTTTTGACAACCACTATGAGAACGAGCGGGAAACAATAACCAAAGCAGTCCCATCACAATCACTCCAGTTTATATGAATATTAAAGGGGTTCTTTTGCCAAAGCAGAAGGCTGCCTGCCCTGACTTGACTTTTGGACATGTTCTTTTTTTATTATTGTGCCTTTTTAAGGAACAACAAAGAAAAAAAAACTATCAGCTCTTTTTTTAAATTTTCACCAGATTTTATACATTTAATGATTTCTTTTTTATAGGTTGTTTTATAAGGAAATCTATTTTTAAACAGTGAACATGGTTCTTCTATGCAACCCAGTTCTGTAATTACATGGACAGTACCTCCTAAGTAGCCAGTCAATAATTGCATTCAGCAGATGTAAACATTACTGTAGCCTTATTTACCTGTAAATGAGCAGCAAAAAAAGTGTATTTTCCTTATACTTTTACTATAAACACAATTTCTACAAAACATACAAATATACAGTACGTCATTAGTAGTCAGATTGATATTTGATATATTGGTTATAAGTTAAGTAAACAGGGTGAAATCTTGTCTTTGACGGTTCGTTGAAAGCAGACACACTGGAATATGATGGCACATAGGACGGCCAGAAATGCCACAGTTTTCAGTCAAGGTTCAATAATTTGTTACTATGTTTTTCTTTTATTACTATATGACATACAACTTGCACTTGTTTTATATTGACAGTGCTGAAAGTAAAAACTGTGCCTTTGAAATTCGGACAGAGAATTGTGTTCTGCCTGAAAAGAGATTTGCAGGCCTACACAGTCTGATGTGTCATGCTGAGCGTGAGAAAACACTGTCAAGGGCAAGTGTAATGCCATGTGGCTGTGGTACTTGCAGTGCAACACTTGAAAATATCAAAAAAAATATTAGCATAGTGTGAGCGTTTTTTTCTATATTTATTGGCCAAAAACCTGTAATGTCCAGTATTTCTTAATGCTTAACATTTTGTATTCTAATCTACTTGCCTACTTTGAGGCTGGCCTTGTGTTTAACTGTTTTATTTGTGCCTAAATAACATACATTTTGCTGTCAAAGTTCTTGGATAATTCAAAAACTTAAGCAGTTAAATCAAATAAACCATTAACAAGTAAAGACAAGATTCAATCAAGAAAGAACACCTTTTTCTCATTTTAAATTCAGTACAACAGATATTTTGTGGGGGTATGTTTCCTGGGTAATGTGGTTTTTCTATGATGTTTAATTTCTGATGCAATTATTGCCTGCATGTTAACTTGTAAAATATGACAATGAAATTGTACCAGTTGTGATGACCAAAAGTATTTGTTTAGACAGTCACAATTTGTCTTTGTGTATCAGAATAAATCAAAAACTCATTTTGTCTACCTGATCTGACCAAAACTCTAACAGACAAGGTGCTACCAGATTTTATTTTAAAATAAAAATTGGTATTATACAATACTGTATTTGTATTTATTTTTCTCCGTGGTGACACTAAATGACACATCTCTTCTGAAAGTATGAAATTGCTTTTGCTCTATGTCCTCCGATACAACAATAAAGTATCTTTTTAAAAATCCTTAAATCTTTTTGGTTTGAAAGACATACTGCAGGATCATGTTCTACTCAAATGTCAGTACTACTTGCAAACAAACATCCAAACCTTGTTCACTCAAGATTTTATTTTAAATTTTATATTTTTAACGTGTACTGTGGTGGAATTTCTGTAAGGTATAGTTCTTGAGTACTTGCATTGTTGCTACATTTCAGAGGGACCATACCAAAGTCAGCTACAGTTACTAGTTACTTTTTAGATTTTATATAAAGATATGATACACTTAACAGTTAAAAAGTAAAGTAAGCAATTATTATTAAATATGACAAGGACTATTCCACATGTACATTTACTTTTGGATACATTTCCTTATTAATACTTTTGTACTTAATTAAAAGGCCTATAATATATTGACATTGGTCCACTTTTACTGAAGGATACTTCTTCCACCACTATCAGATACTAGTTAAACATACATTTATTTTTCATAACCAACATTATAAGTCTAAACAGAAAAATACGCTTATGTAAATTATCTTTAAATGAAAATATGGTCGCCCGTTGAAAAACGGCTGATATCAACTCCTTCGCACTCCTGAGCATTAATTTGCGTCAGCCCTGCATTTATTATTTATTTGATCAGAAACATGTGGTAGAGACATTCGAGTCTTTGTTTCATAGTGTTTATTAAACGGTATATTCGTAGCAAATATCCAACGTTAAAGCTTATAAACAAAACAAACAAACATTTATTGTTGCTTTGCTAGTAGCCGTTGGCAGCTAATGGTGCAGCTATATTTAAGAGTCGGCCATTTTAGGTGTACCGGGGACATTATTCGGTGACACCAGGAAGTGTCTTTTTAATATAAAGCTTCTATGGCGAATGACTCGTAATAATAAATTCGGTTTAACTTACAGTAATTATAAAATATCCGACTTGTTTATTTATGCCCATAACCTAGTGTATTTAAATATTTAAAAATATATATAGCGTTTATTTTCAGAATCGGGACTACAACATTTCTGGGCGTTTTCATGGTGACATCATGTGAGCTGACTGACACGTACGGTTTTGTTGAAAAAAATAAAAGTAACAGAAGAGCAGGAAGAAGAAAGGCACTAGGAGCAGAGAGAAAGAGGTATGTACTTTATGTTAGCATAGTGTGCTTATGTCCTCGGTGTGCGGTGTCAATGTTTGCTGTAATATTACCAGCTTAATCTACGGAAGAATGAACGAGTCGTCGAATTGTGTTAACAGACGAGCAAGCGTTAGCTAGGCAAGCTGCTCATTTTAACGCCCGTATTAACTCACTGGTTAGCAACGTTGGCTATTAATATGATAGTCTCATGCGTCAAAACACAAATATTGGCCGCCTGACAATTGCTGGACTGCCGTGCCCTAGTTTAAACAACATATTTATTCACGAGTTAACCTAAGTGTTTTTGTTGCCAGCTAATGTTAGCTTAACAACTGCTATATCACGAATTGATAGCTTGTTATCAGAAAGCTTGTTAAGCGTAATTATGGTAACGTTACTGAACGCTTGACATTTAACCTAGCTGGTTAACCTGTTGTGTAATTAAATGATGCAAGACCTCCTCTAACTAAAGTACGCACCTCTGATGTGCAACACGCGTGTGTATCGCTGGTGAAAGCAGTATTCAGATTATGTACTCAGCGCTAGCCTAAGTTAAAGTAACTAGCGATACCACATTACCTTTTTTTTTACTCTATTCAAAAATGTACTTAAGTTAAAAGTACAGAAATGTTAGCAGCAAAATAAAATAAAAGTAATCATTATGTAGAATGGTCCCTGACAGTGTTATATTATTAGATTATTGAACCATTTATATTGATGTTATACTGATGCTATAACAGCAGTTTATCATATTTTATAAACTAATCTTGTGTGTTGTATATAAAATCTTAAAAGTAGTTATAGCTGTTAAATAAATGTAGTCTATTAAAAAGGTACACTAGTTCCCTCTGTAATGTAGAGTATATGTATAAAGTTGCATACAATACAAATAAAAGTAAAGTATTTAAGTTGAGTAATGTTACTTTGGTAAATTTAGCTGCTTTCCATTACTGATTAACAAGTGATTGTACCCTTGCTTATCTGTGAATGCTGCATGCCCACAGTTGTGGTTGTAAAATAATTTACATTTTGACTGTAAAAGTGGAGTTTAAGTGTAATCATGTGCTGTTTCTGTTCAGAGGAGACATCGTCTGTTCAAGAATCACCTTCAGATCTCTATTCCTAGTTCAATCATGAACGTGTTTGACCGCAACATCAACTTTGATGCTCTCCTCAAGTTTTCCCAAATGTACGTAAGCATGCAGTGGATTGGTATGTCAGTCTTGTACTTCAAGTTTCCATCACCCAGCACTGTAATGTTTTTTTTTTTTTTTTGCAGATCTCATTCCACACAGGTGCACTTGAAGAATGTGTACTCAAGCTTGGCAGTTTGTATGTTTGTGGCTGCAACTGGCTCCTACGTCCATGTCGTCACCCGCCTCTTTCAGGTAATAATAATGATAATGCACCGTATTTGTATAGCGCCTTTCTAGCCTTTGCGACCACTCAAAGCGCTTTTACGCCACGTTGCATTCACCATTCACACACTGGTGGAACAGCCAGCCACCAGAGGCAATTCAGAGCTCAGTATCTTGCCCAAAGACACTTCGACATGCAGCCTGGAGGAGCCGGGGATTGAACCACCGATTTTTTGATTAACAGGCAACCCGCTCTACCCCCTGAGCCACAGCCACCCCAGTTTAAAAGTTGATCCTTTACAACAATGCAAATTGTGCCCTTAAACAAAGTGCTGACAGGAATACTTTATCCTACCTAATCTAGCCTTATTTTTAAGTTTAGTAATCTGGTGGTTGCAGATAAATGTGTTTTAACAATAAAACAATTACACAATACTGAGCAATTTAAAGCTTGTATTAATCCATGTCCAGTGTATCCCAGTGCAACTTCATGTTTCATTTGATTAGTAGATGACCCAAACAATTGACACACCAATTTAATGAGTGCCATTTGCTGTGAAATATAGCAGCCATTCTTTCCTGAAGATTAATGATTTATTTCAGCATTTATTAGTTTTATGATTTTAGCAGAGGTGGCCTTTATGTTTGATGAGATGGACCTGCATCCACTTTAAAACACAGCGGGAAAACCTGAAGTCACTGTCTTTTGTGAAGTTTAAGTTCTGTGGTAATTTACAGTGAGCATTGTCACCACTCGGCCACTGAGCACAGACTTTGTTGCTAATCTACCTCTGTCCGTGTTTCATGTGACAACAGACTGCATGTGTAGGATATTCTGCAGCCTAATACTTGAACGTTGCTACCAGGATTTCCCTTTGTAATTTTGGGATTACCAGTTTTAGAAGATACTGAATGTATTATAGATAAATACATATACAGATAAACACAATACAATACGCAATACAATGACAATACAATACGCAATACAATGACTGCACTAAATTTGCTCCTTTGTCTGCTACACCAGTGCCAGTACGTTCTCTGGTATATCAGGGCACTGTGGGCGCATTTAAAATGTATCACAGGTCTTTGATTTGAGTCAGAATCACCATAAGATAAGACAAAACTTGTTGGATGTTTTCTGTCTTATCTTAACATCTTATGGTGATCCTGTTGCTACAGGGATATTCAACCTACTGTATTGAGAAATTTACAGATATTGGGATGTTGCTGTTTTCAACACCCTAAATTAGTGGTAAATATCAAAGTGACAATTTTCCTGCCCTATCGTCACCCCCGTGCCCTTGTTCTCAGGGCGGCATACTGTCTGTGCTCGGCTCCCTGGGGATGATGTTTTGGCTCGCCATGACACCACACAACCCAGAGACAGAGAAGAAGAGACTGGCTATCCTCGCAGGATTTGCCTTCCTCACAGGTAAAGTGTTGACTTTATGGACATGCTACAATTAAAAGTGTTGCTTTGCATGTGATCAGAATTGACTTTGTTAAGTTAAGCCCATGTTTGCATTCCTCTCTTCCTCTCCAGGTGTCGGCCTTGGCCCCACACTGGACTTTGTCATCGCCGTCAATCCGAGGTATGTGAAAGGTTACTCAGTGTTTAACATCTGTGCATAAGCAGCTAGCTGAATAGAAGTTAAACATTAAAACCACGAAACATTGATTTTAAAACGGCAATGAGAGAGAGTATTATGTAATCATTGGTTGCTGTTTGTCTGTACACATCTAATTAAAATTATGTATTTATTGAAAACTTATTGTTTGCTCTGGTTTGTTTCTCATCAGCATCATTGTGACGGCTTTCATGGGAACCTCTGCAATTTTCATTTGCTTCACTCTCAGCGCTGTCTATGCCAAACGCAGGAGCTATCTGTTCCTTGGAGGTAAAGGCAGTTTATTAACGTTGTGACGCTGTATACTTCTTTTCTCAACCATTTATCATACAACACAAACACACTTAAAACTTTATATAACATACACCTTCTGGCCATCAAACAGTCCACTTGTGTAATTAACCCATACATGCTGCTTCCCTCATTCTTCTCAGGCACGCTGATGTCCGGCCTTACCCTCCTTTTCCTGATGTCTGTGATGAACATGTTCTTTGGATCTGTGATGATGTTTAAGGTAGCTGAACCAACCATATCTCAGTGAACGTTTGATCAGCTGTGTGCATTAATGTGCTCTAAATGTGTGTATCTTCCTCTTTATCTTTTCTAACAGGCACACATGTACCTCGGGCTGCTCATCATGTGCGGCTTTGTCCTGTTTGACACTCAGCTCATCATTGAGAAGGCAGAGAATGGAGACAAGGACTATGTCTGGTGAGTCAAAACTCCATACGAGCCTTTTATCTGTCGGCTTCTCAAAACCAAATACCATGCAAATACATCATCCCACAGGGAGGTGAACAGCTTAGCATCTGTTCCTGATAATGAGAGAGATAAAGAGTGGCTCGAATAAATTTCACTTTCAATTTCACAGAGGTTCAGTCAGTACATGGTAAATGCATACATTTTACAGCTGAATTATTGAATGAACTGAATTTATTTTAGACATGTTTTTCTTCTCAAAAGCATATGTAAGATTCTGAAACAAACGTTTGTTTTTTGAAGGCACTGTGTGGACTTGTTTCTTGATTTCATCACCATCTTCAGGAAACTGATGGTCATCCTTGCCATGAATGATAAGGTACGGAGTTTATTGCCTTATCCTTTTTAAAAAAAAAAAAAACGTTAATGCATAAGTCTGGTCGTGTTCTATATTTTTCTTGTCAACAAACCCAATGAAAAGACAAAAACATACAAGAAATTTATCCTACCAACAAGTATTTTGTGCATCGAAAGCCTGGTATATCATATTCCTTATTCTAATGGAACTGTTAACCTCTGTTTGTGATCTGATTTAAAAACACATCAGTTAGTAACGCTGTTACACTGGGCGACATGTTCCTTCGTTATGATGAACATCAACATTGTAGTTTATTTTGATTCGATCCCACATACACCCATCCTGCTGCCGGAGATACTCACCAATACACCAAACACACAACTGAAAATAGTTCCAAACAAATGCATTATTTACTCCTGTTTAGTGAAAAAACTAAACTAAAAACTACGTTGTCCAGATGTTTTAGGATATTTCTTTTTTTAAAATTAAACTATATTTGTGACCTTTTTTTAAAGACTTATCTCTTCAGTAGGAATCAGTGGGCTTTAAGCTGAGTGCCATGGATGGGGTAGGGAAGTCAGAAAGTATTGAGAGACGGACTAACACATTGTTGGTTTTGTTGTTTTAATGGGATTTGTTGACAATAACAAAGTATAGGATATTGCAGCCTCAACTGTTTAATGTTTCTACAAGAAAGGCTGGTTAAAATAAATTGTCTTCAATGCATTTTACTGTTTTTAACAATTCTGTAGAATAAAATCCTGGTTTAATTAATAATAAATGGGTGGCTCACCCAAATCACAGCAAAAACAACATGTTTTCTCATTCAGCTCTAGTAGAATCCAGCCATGCAGATACTTTTGGTTTTGTTTGCTTAGGTTTTGAGATATCTGAGACTTCTGCCACCGCCCCAGTGCAATGGTGGAAAGGGGAATTTAGGTTGTGGTGCACAAAACAATGAAAAAGCAAATGACATTTGAATAACCCAACAGCAACATATGCAGAAACTTGTTCTAATTACTGTGGATAATAATAATAATAATAATAATAATAATCAACAGACATCTGAATAATTACATTTGACCAAAGCAATGGTTCCTTGTGAAGCAAAAAGTATTTTGTGATGGAAAGTAACCAACTACATTTAAGTGCTGTGCCTATGTACAATTTTGCTGTACTATCCTCCTCATGTTGCAGTTATATTTGAGTTGTTAACAGTTCCACCAAAGAGACAATTCCCCTCTAAACCTCTCACATGGTTTTATTTAATAACCTTTGAGCCCCAAAACACATAAAAATATCAGATATTTCACAAAAACAGTAATTATTAGAGAAAAAATGGAAGATTTAATAGATGACCCTCAGAACAGTAAAACGCTGCTTACACATTGATGCTTCAGTATTGACAATCGAGTGTCACATAATATCAGTCAGACAAAGCACTTTTACTTTTTGAAGTACATTTTACTGATAGTACTTGAGCACTTTTGCTTCAGTAAGATTTTGAATGCAGGACTTTTTACTTTCACCTTAACTTTACTTTTACTTTAACTATCAGCACATACTGTTTAACCGTATGTGTCTGCATGGCTTGATACCACTACATTGAATTCTTTGTCTTATAATTGTGATTATTTGTCCCTTTTTTCAGGACAAGAAGAAGGAAAAGAAGTAAAGAAAGTTTGAGTGTCTGGAAATGGAAAAAAAACAACAATCTGTCAGACAAGGCACAATTTGCAACGCATTTGGTGCTTTTCACTTTCTGTCTTCATTTATCGAATTAACTCCTCTGTGGTCTTATATTACTGAACACTTCTTTGATTTATTTTTTAAAACTTACAACAAGGGTTGAATGTAAGTTCATAGTAAACTAATGCTAGTCCCATCATGGCTGTGGTTGGAGAATAGACTAATGCTGCAGTGAACATGCTTGGCCTGTAGAGGGGAGCGTTGCCCTATGGAGACTCCCAGAAGCTGAGCAACACTTAATGAGGATTTTCATTCATATTTCATTACTGTTATTTAGTGCCATAAATTAATGACATGATAGGCTCCTTTTTTGTTTTTTTTAGTGGGTCAGGTGAGCTTCTGAGTTGATCAGTGTTTTATTTAAAATTATGTAATTTCAGACGTTGATTTGCTTATTTATAGTTTTCCCTTGGTTCTCTTTAGTGGAGTGTCACAACATATGGTGTCCCATGATTTTGACTGATTTTTGATTTGATTTTGTTTTGTGACCAACATTTTGAGTAAGAATGGTGAAGCCTGGTAATACTAACCATGGAAGCCTGTCTGGAGCTATACAAACTGATTCAGACGGACTCGGTGGTCAGGATTTTGGACTTTTGGCTGTCTTGACTGATTGGCTGGAGTCTGAGCCATCTGTCCACATTTTCAACTCAGACAGGCAAATTATTCAGACCTCTCCCAGTGTAAATTTCCTCTTAATATCTGTTGTCTAGAAATTAGTTTACCAAATGATATGATGTTAACCTTACGATTTTTCGAAAGTGTATACTGTGAAGAATTTATTTTATTCATGTAAAATTGAAACTAATAATTTGATACATTTGCTCAAATAAATGTGTTGAACATATTGAAATAAGGTGATCTTGCCTGCCTTCACTGTTGAAAATGCTAGTAAAAATAGTTAATACCTGCAAAAATACTCAATTACAAGTAATACTTCTATATTTAAAATGTTTAGACCTGAAAATATTGATTGATCATTTTTATAGCAAAGATGCCAAATGTTCCAGCTTCTCAAATGTGTGGATTTAATGTGGTTTATTGTCATTCTCAACATTTAAATTTTTGGACTTTTGGTCCAACAAGACAATTTGAGGATGTCGTGTTGAGCACTAAGAATTTGTATTATTTTGACATTTCATAGATGAAGTGGTTAACAAACAATCATAAGATGAATTGACGATGAAAATACTGACTTAAGTGAAAGTACTTTTAGTTTATCATTAGCAAATTGTACTAGGAGTATTAAAAGTATTGGCCCCTTGAGAGTGTAATATTATATTTATTGATACATTACAAAGTTAATTTGACCTTTTTACCAATTATTTGGTTGTTTAATCTAACAATGACACATTTTGTATGTAAAATCTTGTTACTTTTACTTAAGAGGATTTTTACTAGTAAGTATTACTACTTTTACACAAGTGAAAGATCTGAATACTTCGACCACTGAATATTTCCCTCTGAAATGTCGACCACAAGTATTAAAAGGGAATTTTACACATTAAAGTGTGTTTACCGGTCTTGGAGAGTACTACTACATTTGAAGACAGTTTGGTAAGTGCTCTTCCTACCTACTGTATGACTAATTGATTCTACTGGCCAAAATAACTATTACCACAAAGAACTAAATCAAAACATTTTAATTAGAAAGTTGAAAAACGGCAGTAGGTACATAGGACCTCTATTGGCTAGGGAATGAACAGCAACAGATGTCGAAATACAAGATATGAACATAATCTACTAAGCGAGGAGACTGCAATTTTCACAGAAAGATTACAAAAAAAAAAAATGATGACTGCAAACATTTAAAAATAAATAAATAATAGAAATACATTTTCATTGAATAGTGTAGCCATTTCTCTTTATCTATGTTATTATTGCTGGTATATTACCTTTAAATGTTTTATGATTTAAAAACAGACATATTCCGACAACCTTCCTTGGTCGCAAAACAATATCAACATGATCAATAAAATCGTTTATACATTTAAAATTGTGATGCATGAGTTTAGCGATAAAGAATCACAGACATGAACATTCAGTTTTTTTTCCTTTTTTAAAAGAGCTCCATGTGTTTGTTTTTTTTCCTTTCTCTCAGTACATTATATGGTGAAATGAAACCAATAACAGAACGGATGTATTGATACAGTACGTCAGCAATTTAAATGATCAGCGCTTCACTGCTTCCTTGACGGACACAACAAAGATCAGAGAAAAACAAAACAAAAGACAGGTTGCTGAGTAACAACCAGGAGTGACGACTTTTGTGCTAATCATTAGCTTAGCCATGCGTTTTTGTAGTCCTGTATACATGAAGAATTAAAGAGAAGTGTCCGCAGTCAAGTCTGATTGTGAAAAAGTGAACAACGTATACTATCTGGGGTGGCTTTTGGCTTCATGTTTATTGGGAATCCTGAGGAGAAGTCTTATCGATCCATCTTTCCAGTTGCAACAGAGGAACAGCTGATGAGACGGCATCACCACAATACTCTTGCGACCAACGGGGCACAGTTTCTTTTCCTCACAAGGTGGCGGCGGGTCAGCAGCGGCATCACAGTACAGCCAGCAACCAGGAGATGCGTTCAGAGCGGTGTTAGGTCTTATTGTCTGCGGACTAGATGAGCATCCAGTCCTCTCCTTCCTCCCCCATCCTTGGCTGGATCATCCTTGGCTGCCGCAGGATGACAGACTGTCGTACAGAGAATCGCTGAGAGACTCGGGGGTCTCCAGGACCTGAGGGCGGCTTGGGGAGAGGGCTTCCTCCGGCCGCTCCCTGAGCAGCTCCAGTCCGGCCTCCCGGCTCACCTCGGGGACGCTGGGAGTGCGATTCTTTCCCCTGCGGCTAAGCCCCGACTGGGCAGGGACGGGCAGGCTGCCTGGGTCAGCCGCCCGGCTGGAGGAGGGACCGCCGGCCTTCACGCTCTGAAAGGATGCACAGAGGTGGGAAACATTTTAGGTCATGTGTTTCATCTTATGTAACGCCTTCAGGTGCAAAAAAAAGTAGGTTACAGAAACCATCCAACTGTGAATCTTTAATATTCAGTTGATTAATAATTTCTAAAGAGAGAATGGTTATGTGTTTTTACATTATGTAAGATGTGAGGGCAGATTTAAAAAACGTTTCTCTACTTTGAAAATACTTTTCAGTCTGTAGACTGTAAGTGACCGAGATATTTTCTTTCTGCATGCTCCTCTCAGACGTTTTTCAATAAGAATAGATAATCAAATAAAACAAGCACAATATGATGGCTATCATTTTGTTTCCATGTTGTAGATTTCAGTCTACTTGTCTGTGGAGGTGTCCTCCAGTTTTCCCCCTTTTTAAAGGTTCTTTTGGTTTAAAGACAGTGTGTCACATGCTGTACAGAATATAAAGCCCCTTCAGGCAAATTTGTAATATTGGGCTGTATAAATAAAAAACATGACAGAAAGCTTTCTTTTCCAAGTTATTAAACATTTAAATCAAGTTTATCACGACATCTTGAGCAGCAGAACACCCCTCCCCTGCAGATTTGAGCATGGAAAGCCACAAGATGGATCGGGTCAATTTAGCTTCATTTGAAATACATCAAGCTTGGATTTAACTACAATCCCAACCCCTCTGAATGGCGATCCAAAGGATACCGCCTCCTCCTCTTCCTCCTCCACTGCCAGGTAAACCTCTGCAGGTCCTGCTGGAGTCTTCAGGCTGGGGAAGGTCCAAGTCTTCGAGCGAGGGGAGAACATGTTCGCTCCATGAGCCTCTTTGTCTGCAGATGTGAGTGATTAAAAACACATTTTCATCTCATTTCCCGGCATCAGAGGGATTTTCTCATTTGGGTAATTTACTAAATAGAAGCACAAACACTTAAATCTAAATTCACCGTTCAAAGTGAGGAAGGTTTAGTGTTTATTGAAAATCTAAACTGTAGTTGTTGGTCCATCTATTGGATGGATTGCCATATTTTTTTGTAAAGACATTTGTGTTCCCCTGAGAATGAATCCCAAAGACAGTCGTTGACTCTGACTTTTCCTCTAGCACCACCATGAGGTTAACACTTTTGGTTTTTAGTGTGTCTAGATGTGGTAGAAAATGACTGTGTTGCCTGTTGAATAACTAAAACTGGGCATAGCAGCGGTTCAGACAAAGATTACAAGACCTTGGAGTGTCTTGAGATATGCTTGTTTTGGGAACTGGTGTTGACTGGATTTAGTTGATAGCTTAGGAATCATACATGCTCCTTTTTGTGACCTTATTTTCTTGTCCATCTAGACTAGTGGGGAAGGGATTACCAAGCACAAACCTACGTAGCCACCGCTGAGTTTTGCTAAAATGCATTCATTTTAAGACAACAGAGGCTGACAGGAGAGTGTTTTACATCACTGGGCAACTAGTGGTTTGATTTGATGCAGATATTCATGCTCATGCCCTGACTTCTAGCACCATCATCAGATCAAAATAAAAATGTCTTCAATACTTTCAACATTAAAAAACCCTCCCATCACCCTGAACTATACATGTTATGTTAAACATGCTAACACGCCAAAATGAAATATTAAATTTAATGATGAATCATAAAAAGTATATAAATGATTCATTATAAAACCAGAGACTAGATTTTTAAGATCTTACTGAAGAACAGAAGCACATGAACCAAACAATTTCTGCTGGCACGAAAGCAACTGCCATTATTAGCATATTTCTGTGTGACTTTCTTTTTCTTTTTTCTATTACACATTACTTGGTGGTGGTGGTTTAATGTGACAATCAATAGATCATTTTCACTATTTTTGTAAAGAACCCCATGTGTCCAATTTGGCGACGTGCTGAATCTCTGAGATGTCTTGATAGGCGTTGTTGCCCGAACGCAAGTATTGTTTCCTGGTCAGTGCCATGCTTCAGTTTGAGCTACGGTGTAAACACTAAGAGTATCCTTGTGTCTATAAATCAAACATTTTGTTATAGACTCACTGCTTTTTTGTATATTTGAGTGCAGTACAAGTTTGCAGACTACATCAAAGTACTCTATACCAAGTGTACAAAAGTACTACTTTGAAGGCTTTATAAAATAACTAAGTGTAAGTGCGGCAGTTTGTTGGGCACCTTCACGGATGACGCCGGCCGAGCTTCTCCCCTCCAGCATGGAGCCGTACTGAATGGTGGGAATCAGCTGTTTGTGAGGCACGTAGCACTCCTCCTGTGACGTCAGCTCTCTGTCCAGGGTGCGGGCCCGTCGACCGGCCCTTCCCGGGGAGCCAGAGCAGTGGTGCTCGGCCCCGGCCCTCATCTTGGACAGGCCCCGTCCTGCTGCACCGCTGCTGCAGTCGGGCAGGGGGAACGTACCGATGCCACTGTCCAGGGTGTACGTGGAAGCACCAGAACCTGCAGAGGAATGAAAGAAGAGGGTGACTGACTTAATTTAGGAAACAAACAAATACATTTACAAAAACGCACAAAGAAATTAAGAAGTAAAGGAATGAATTCCGCCTCTAAATCTATTTTCCTTGGGGGCGTGGCCTCATTAATTTACCTTCGACATGCTTAAAAAAAAAGAAGAAAAAAAAAAAAAGCTTTAATTAATAAAAGAGCCAATTAATTTCCCCTCAATATGCAAATTATATGTTTAAGTGAAACCCTTGGGGAAAATTTACTTTATAAGTAAAAGTACTCCTTTCAGAGTGTTAAACTGTTTTATATTAAATTATTGGATTGTTGCAATTGTAGCATTACCTTCTTCTGCGGGATTGTTAATACACACACACACACACACACACACACATACACACACACACACGTCGTAAGTTGATCATATGTTCTGTATGTAAAATATGTCACTGCAAATATTTCCTTTAAAATGTAGCAGAGTAGATGTATAAAGTAGAATAAAATGGGATTACTCAAAGTACAAATACCTTAAAATTAAACTTAGGTACAGTACCAAATGTACTTACCAGTACTGCAGATTTGGGATTGATTGGTTAATCTTGTTTAATGCCCAGTTTACTCACTGAATCCAAACAAACCAACTTGACTACTGCAGTATTAGCAGAGTTTTAAAATGTGTTCCTGTGATCCCACAGTGCTCAACCTCATTTTGTGTAATGTATTTACGCCCTAAAACACAGATTTTTGTAGATTTCTCAATAAATCTCTCTGTGGAATTCTTTATACATACATTCATTTATCTATTTCCAGTCTAGTTCCCACACACGCAACGCTTATAGGCCTTAAAAAAATGTGTGATATTTCTTCCCTGGCAGACTCCTCTTACCTGCGAAGTGTTGAGAGTGAACCGAGTCTGCCAGGTTTTCATCTGATGTGATCTTGCCGATTCTGTCTGATCCCTGCATGAAAGAACAACAAAGCAGCAGATGGAGGAGTGAATGTACCGAGAGTCAGCGCTTCACATCGGTATGCAGGAAACTAGTCTGACAAATAAGAAGCCAAGTTTAGGCTTGAAAGTCGATACGATGAAGAATAAATTTTTCTGAAAATTCGAGAGATTGATGCATTAAATGTAAGTGAGTCATGTTTTCATGTCTTCCTCCCTTGTCAGTTTCTTTTATCCCTACTGTAAATGTCCAAAATCTTGTCTGTCTAACCACAGAGAAACAAACAGCCACGTGCTGTACCTTCTCCATATCGTCACGGCTGGTGATGTGACCGATGACGTCGCTCTGCTGACAAAACACCGGCTTGGAGGTCTTACAGTCGAACGAGAGCCGACGCTGGGGCACGCTGATCATGTCCTTCCCGTCCACTCTACATTTAATCAAACACACGTTTCAATCTTCAGTTAAGATGTCCAAGCTTTACCTCACAAGAAGGAAGCCTTAACAGTGTCCTTCAATGCCTATTTTCCCCATTTTGGGAAATACACTTTGAAGCAGAGAGTTAGATGAGAAGACTGATACCATTCTGTACAGTAAATATAAAGCAACAAGTAGCAGCCCGTTAGTTTAGGTTAGGTTAGCATAATGACTGGAAACAGCTAGTCTGGCTCTGTACATAGTAACTAAATTTGTTTACAAGCACCTCTAAAGCTCATTAATTAATAGGTTTAATCTTGTTTGTTTAATCTGTACAAAACAGTCAGGAAAGCAGAACAAGGCTAACTGTTACTTCATCTTCTTCAGGGTTTTACAGTGGTTGACCCTTGACACATTACTGCCTCCTTCTGGATTTAATCTTCCTCAATGTCAATTTATTTTAAAGTCTTCTAATCAGTCTAGTTGCTCTTAAAAACACAAATATACCTTTATATTTTCACACTGGCCTCTACTCGCCCCGTTTTCCATAACTGTATCACCGGTCTTTCTTCTGTATGTTTTCTGCATGTTACTAGAATAATGTTTCACCGTCTCTTTTTCACTGATTCACTGACACTGATTGCAACGACCTGCCGACTTGCCACAATGAAAAGTGTATCTTAATGTGCCCAATTCTCAGCCTGCTTATAACTTGCTCTGTTTAGAGTGCTGCTTAATCCTAATAACGTTGACTTATTTTCCTCCACACTATACTTTCCCCTCTCTGACTCTGAAAATATAATACTGATTTCAACAATACCATTTTTTCATCTTTTCCTTTGTTAATTTGTCTGCCTTTCCATCTCCTCGGACACCTAAATGTGCTGGTACTACTCACATGAATAGCATGTTTTCTCTTGACTAACTGTACTTGAGTTGGTAAACAAAATTATATAAAGCAGATCCTAATGATTACATGTGGGATGACTCGATGTGAGTGCTGACACAGAATCACTACACAAGTAAAACTATTCAGTTCAGAATAACAAAAGACAAAAAAATACAACTCTTAGAAGCTGAAAACCGGTGAATTTTAGGCATTTTTGCTTAAAAAGTTACTTAGGAAGGATTATCAAAATAGTTTTCTATTGACTTTTACTATAAACTGACTATGAATCGACTAATTGTTTTCGCTTTGAGTACATTACACACATTAGAGTGGTATCGATCATCTCGTTTAAGACCAAGCCCTTTTCTCAAAAAGTCCAACTCTCCCCTTTAACGATTTGTTATTATAGCAGCCTTAGCATCCACTCGTCCTTGTTGAGTCCTCACCTGTTCAGCAGCTGTTGCATGAAGTTGTCAGAGCGCCCTCCCCTGTACATGACAGCCAGCTGTCCCTGAGCTTGGTCCATCACCACCTCACAGGAGTGACCCCTGCCTGACCTCTCCACATACGCCCTCTCCTCCTCCAGGGCCCTCCTCAGACCCTCGGCCTTCTCCATCAGAGTCGAGATGTTCAAACCTTCCACTCCTTCTTTACACCTGGTGGCCATTTTCACAGAGTCCCGGCCCACTGAGGGGATGTTGATCTTCCACTCTTTCTTCTCGTCCTTTGCTTTGGTCGCTTCGGTTTTGCGGCTCAGCGCAGGCAGCTTGCTCTTCTTCAGGCCGAACCAGCTCGCAATGCCGTTGGAGGCTTTCTGCTTGACCTCGCTGGCCTGCCCTCCTCTGTCCTGCTCCTGGAGCTTCAGCATGTTCTCCTCGATGCCCTTCATCACCTTCTGCTCGATGGCAGATTGCGGGCTTGGTACCGGCTGCAACGGCTTCTCCCCTTCAGACACTGGAGGTCTTGGAGGAGGCGGCGGCAGGCTGTCTCCGTACATCGGATTCTTTTTCCCTTTCCCGCTGATCTTGGTTCTCTCCTCTGATTTGGACGAGTAACGCGGGGCCTCTGAGGGCTTCCCCCCTCTGTGGACGGACGGGCCCTGGCAAGGTTTGGACGGCGACTTTGGGGGGATTTTGTTGGGGCTGTTGCTACTGTGAGGACCAACACCTGGTTTAAGGTTATAGGCCAGATTTAGGGAGCCAGGACACTTAATGTTGTTGCGTAGTACCTGCGGAGCATCTGTGTTGGGGGACGGCAGACCTATTTTGCTCTTAGAGCCTTCTGTCTTGGTCACACACGGTTCTTGTTTAACCACCACGGGACCAGGAGGCTGAACTTTTACTGCCTGTTCATACAGCTGAGATGACCCCGGGTACTTTAAACCACCGCTACTACTTTTGGGTTTACCATCCAAAGAGTCTGAGTATTTTGAATGTCTCTGCTCCTCTTTAAGGAGCTCCATGGGCCGCTCCGCTGTTTTACTCCTTTCATCCACGTAAGTGCCCTCGTTCACCGTGTCCACGGACCTGAGACCGACTTGTAAATCCTCAGAGCTCCTCAGCTTTCCCAACGCAGCCAGCCTGTCTTTGAAAGCGTGGTGACTGGAATCAGCCTGGGCTCTCGCTGCCCCGGCCACAGGCCTCTTGGGGATGGAAGAGGAGTCGCTCCTCCTAGCTGGAGGTGGAGGCGGCTGCTGGGCGACCTCGGAGCTCTGCACAATAACCTCCCTTACATCTGCCTCCTGTTTCTCTCTGGCATGTGAGTAGTTGGCTCTGCCCTGAGCTTTGCTGAGGGCGGATGAGTTGGGCAGGCTGTGATGGTTAACCCATACTGGGCTGTCCGAATCCTCCTCATCATCTGATGTGGACTCTGACGTGGACGAGGACGACTGTTTTCGTTGAGGAAGGGGGTTTAGGACACTTTCTGGTAGCGATTTAACGAGCTTCCTCTCACCACCGTTTGCCTTGGTTTGGGATGGAAGTGTGGTTCTTTTCTCGGGGCCCTGGGTCGGTTCCTCGTCTCTAGAGTTGATAGACATATTACAGACATTTTCATAATGAGGGACCCTCTGAGATACTTTGGATGAGGAGGAAGGAGCGCCCGTCCTTGAGCCAGCACTGGCTTTAGGTGTTGAGAGGCTGTAGCTTATTTCCTTAACGGGCGGGGTGCAGACGTCTTCGGGCTGTGGAGGGGAGGTTGGGGCTGAGTGTGTGGCGGGGTAGGACTCAGACCTGGAGGGCGGTGGAGGGGGCTGCCTGCACCTTTCTGTGGTGGTGGCTCTGCGTGTGGGAACAGGAGAGTGGTACACCTCGTAGTTGTTGGTGCGACAGGGGATCCTGGAGCTGCGGGTGAGTTGGGGGCTCAGACGGACAGCAGAGGTCGAAGCCTGAGACTTCTCCCCCATCGAGGGAATCTTCAAGAACTTGAGCAGTTTGGACGGGGAGTTGATGGCGGCGGCTTTGACATCGCTGAGGCAGGAGGGGCTGGGGCTGACGGAGGCACCGGCTCTCACAGAAGACGCCTCCTGATCTGTGCTGTCTTTCTCGGGGACGGCTGAGGGGTCATTCGACATGGCGCTGTTCATGGAGGAGAGCGCTAAGCCATTGTGAACGGCATCACTCGTCTCCATGTCACAGTGGGACATCTGTGCGCTCTCTTTCACAGAACTGGGCAGGTGGGATGTGGGACAGAAACCAGTGAGCTCTTCAGAGGCACTAGCGTTTAGACAACTCTCAGAGCTGTCCTGCTCTTGCTCCACTTCCATCACCTCCAGGCTCTGATCGGCTGCTTCTGTGATTGAGGAGTGGGCGGTGGCGCCTGCTGGTTGCTGGTGGGCTTCATTCTTGGTGCATTGTTTAGATGAGGGAACAGACTCCACTGTTCTGCTCTTACTGTGACATTCGCTTATAGCAGCTGCAGGAACTACGTGGCTCTGGGTGGCTGAGTTGGCTTTTGAAGGACTACAGACGTGGTTGCATGGCTTTGGAGGACTGTCTGGGCTCCTCTTGCAGTGTAAACAACAGGTGTTCTCTCCCTCACACTTCACTGCCCCGTTGACATGCTGGTGTGCATCAGTGTCAGAGCAGGAGCAGTGGCAGTGTGTCTGGTGGGGTTTGCACTGTAGTGGAAGGGGGTCCGCAGTGGCCAAAACAGCCTCTGTGGACATGAGCACCTGGCTGTAGTCGCAGAAAGACAAGCTCGCAGTAGACGGGTGAAACTTCAGGGGGTCCGTCTCCTCCATCTTGCGAAGGACCTCCAGGATGTGTGCTTTCTTCTTGAAGAAGGGAGACAGGGCCTCCATGGAGGCGGCAGGGCCACGAGGACCCGGGGAGGCATGTTGTGTGCGGTAGCCATTTCCCTTTGGACAGAAAGAGATCTCTATCAGCAAACAATTCACTGCTGACGCTTCAAGAGCCAAACAATCCAGTTCATCAAGACCTTTAGAGCGTGTGCGTACAGGAAATGAGTGCAGGGCAGATTAGCTTTTTAAAGCACAATAGTTGAAATGTCAGCGTATGTTATGACATCACACACAGGTGGGGGTTGTGGTCTCATTCCGAGGCTATGATATAATCCCACTATTTCACTCTTAATGTTTGCTAAACCTTTGCTGCGCGGGCTTTGTAATAATCACCTTGGCTTGTGCTTCAGTCTGTGCAGGCTCCACCTGTTTGGCCGAGTCATTGTGCAGCTGTGCATTGTAGTCTGGGAGTGGTCCCGCCTGAACCTGTAACAGGAGATTCATGAGGCAATTATGATGACACTGTATACACTACAGGCTATTGTATACACGGACAACTAGCAGCTACATTGTTCCGGCATCTGCTGGAACAATGTAGAGCTGAAGTGAAAAGACGGAGATCCATTACTGGCTCACCAGCCATTAAAAGAATGAGGATTAAGTGAAGAAGAAATTAGCAGCAGCATCTGGACAAGAATCAGAGCTGTGCACTGATACACAGACAAGAGGTGGAAAGTACCTTTACTTCAGTACATTTTGAGGTATTTCCATTTTATGCTACTTTATACTTACTTACTCCACTGCATTTATCTGACAGCTGTAGTTACTGGTTTCTTTGCAGATTATGATTTTATTACAAACACATAATCAGCATATAAATATGATGCACTGTTATAGATTGAACTACCTTGTAGTTAAAGTAGTTTAAATGAGCTCCACCTCGACTGGCTACAACATTAAATCAAATACAGTGGAAATGATCATGTCTGTCCAGGTCAAATTAATCACTATAAGCAGATGATTTTTTAAACCAATTTTTTTCTATTTATTTCTTTCTCATGCAGATTACCATTGAATTGACATTTGTAAATTTATTTCATGAATACAAAGTAATGAAACTGACAGCTTTGCTATTAACTGAATTTTATTGACCGTTTCAAAATAAAGTACTGCTGTTTCAAACACTTCAAATCACTGTACAGATTCAATTACTGTACTGTATGTAATTCAAATACACTATACAGTACAATACTGTATATAAAATATAGCTTACTGTAGTTCAACATATAATTAGCAATACCTAAAACAGTATTGTGTTATGTCAGTAGTGCATTGTAAACTTTTAATCAAAGCAGAGTCTGAAAACAAATGTATTCATAAAATATTGAGATTTCTTCCCCATAAGTTGTCATGTATGAAAAGATCCCAAATTAACACACTACTGCTTGATAACTATAAGCGAATAATTAAACAGCAATTTTGTAGAAATGAATCTGTCCCAAACCAGAGTCTCTTTTTATTTCACTTCTTTCTCAAAACTTGGAGCCTACATTACCCACAATACCTGAGTGCCGACAGTTCAGTCGTGCTTTAGAATGGAAACAACCATAAAATAACATTTCTCTGATTCACTCCCTCTCTTCATTCATTCTCTAGCTCGCTTGACCATAGCTTCTCTCTCTCTCAAACATATGAACACAAACCAAAGGACGCTTCTTTGTATCGCTATTTTGAAACATGGACTGCAAGCCAGATGCAGACGTTGAAGCAGGTTACACAAAACAAACCAAGCAAGGACACAACTGGGAGAGAATCACAGTTTCAGCAATATTTCAGGCTTATTGTGGAGCAATTTGCAGTCTGATTGCCGGCTTATGTGATTTGCCACCACAGCATTACGTCAAGTTGCGTTTCTCCAAAATATGAATCCAACTTGTTTCACATATGCAACTATAAAGACACTTGTAAAATCTGTAAATAATATTTTCAATTCAGGATTGTAACTTGTAGTGGAATATTTTTAAATTGTTGTATCACTATTTTTAATTAATTAAAATGATCTGAATACAGAGGGGTTCAGAAAGTTCAGACAGTATATGAAGTCACAGTCAGTTATGAGTCATTACCAGAGTAAGTGAAGTTGATTTACCTGGTAGTGAGCAGTGGGGTGGTTGGGCAGTTTCTGCTGAAAAAGTTCACAAAGCGCTCTGTTCTGTCTCTCCAGGTCAAACACCAACATCTTCAACTTGATGCACTCCTCTCTCAGATCCTATTCAGCGACACAAAGTCGTAAAATAACTGACATACTTTAGTCTACGATGCTACAGATCGTTAAAATAATCCACACACAAAAGTCAAATGTAGCTCTATGTTACCTTTTGATTCAGCAGAGCTTGGACCACGTGGTTGGCCACCTAACGACAGCAGAGAACATTACATTTCACACATTTTAGAATAACTTTAAATAATTATCCTTAGTTGCTAAATGCATTTATATTCTGCAACATGAACTCACCTCATCCAAGCATCTCTCATAAGCCTCTCTCTGACTCTCGTTTGCCAACATCAGAGCAGAGTTCTCTGCCTGTGAAGAAAAAGATAAATAACAATAAAGTTATTTATGTAATGCAACAAAAAATAAAGTTGCATGTGTGAAACATTTGTCAGACACGAACATAGTGCAACAGTCCTGACATATACAATGCAAGCAAATAACTAACTGCAAACAAATAAAATCAGCCACTAACACAACACAGATGTTTTCATAATTATCCAACCAGAAGAACATGTCAGAAATGAAAGAATAGTTCAACTTTTTGAAGAGACTCTGGCACATAAACCCCTGTAAAATGGTTTTTACACTATGGTTTTTGTACGACTTTAACAAATGAGACACAGCGTGTTAATTAGTGAGCTTTAGAGGTACGAGCAGGTGGAGTTTGTTACCTTTGGACAGAGCCAGGTGAGTTGTTTCCCCCTGCTTTCAGTTTTAATGCTAAGCTAAGCTAAGAGGCTGCTGATTGTAGACGTAAGAGTGCAATCAATCTTCTCATCCAACTCTTGGCAAGAAAGGGAATGAGCATATTTCCCAAAATGTAAAACCTTTCCTTTAAAACATCTTATAATGAGCAATAAAACATGAAATGGCCTGCCTTTTGAGCTAACAGCAGTTTACCTGAATTAACTGTGCACACAGTTAAATTCTGCTTCACATTAGACTCTACACTGTGGTAGTTTTTCATGAGACAATATGTTCCTAATTCAAGTAACCTGTTATATAAAATAAAAACATGAATGAATGAAATAAAGTGTTAACGGCAGTTAATTTTACCAAAAAATGTTACAGCTTTTACAGTGACTATTGATGCCCCTAATGTGCAGGAATTTAAGATCGTGTGAATAAGTTATATTATTTTTTAATTAGTGTGAATAATTAGATTCCTTTTATATTGTTGTTCCTATGGTATTTTATACAATGGACAATTCAACAGAGAATTACATATTTAAATAATTATAAAAAAAAAATACATAAATAAAAGTTATAATCTATGTAAGTGATTCCTGTAGTTTTGACTGAAACAGAGGATGGGAGACAAAGATTTTCACCATCATGGCAAATTATGTGTCTATTTAAAGTGACAGTCATTTAACTTTTTGCAATTAATTTCAATTTAATTTGTCATGTAGAGTGTGTTTTGTTTTTTCACTCACCTCCAGCTCTCTAAGTCGGTCCACAAGCTCACTGCTGTTGTCCTCCAGGTACGACTCCACATCTCCCTCCTCGCCTTCCTCGTCTGAACCAAAGTCCTCATCACACATTCTCTGTTCTGCCTCATCTGACATTGTTCTCATCTGAAACACAGGAGGCGACACTGCAACAATCACCGTCACAATCCAGCAATTAAACGTTTGCTTCTTGAAACAACACAAGGCATAATACATCAGCTGCTCTTGAAAGTTACCAATACTATGACAATATCCTCTTTTTCTAAGTCACAACACATGTTCTTTTATATTAATAGTATATTCTTGATGCTCTGTGCTGTAGCTACAATTGCTTCTGTATACTGTTTAATGTGTCATTTCTGATTAAAGTCACATACTGTATGCATCTGATCGGATCTGGGTCAAACTGTAATTACAAACAGATATTGTAGTAGTTGGTTGGAGACCTCACAGGTAGGTTGTCACAAGTCATTATGCTGAGCCCGTGAACCGACCTACAGGTAACACTGATTCATTCGTAAGTCAAAGAAATGTCAGGGCATTGTGAAAAATGTTAGGGTTAACATCCCAGAGCCCAAGGTGAGATCTTAAATGGTCTTGTTTAGTCCAACCAACAGTCCAAAACCCAAAGATATTTAGTTTACAATGATATAAATAACAGAAAACCGCAAATCCTCAGAAGAAGGAAACTGCCATAAATTACTTAATAATAACAGCCACAATTCATAATATTTATTTGGTGCTTTCAAAAAAGGTACTCAAAGCCACTTTACAAGGTAAAAATCTGAGGTTGCGGGTGGGAGTTTGACAGTATAGGAGGTCAGTGAGGCAGTAGGAAGGGGCAAGGTTATTGAGAGCTTTGTAGGTGATGTGGAAGATGTTAAACTGGATTCTACGTCAAATTGTTGACGATTCATTTTCTCCATACAAACCAAAAGAAACACCAAACATACCAGTTAACTGAGCGGAGGTCTGCTTCACATCAGACGCTGTTCTCATCTCCGAGACTGACGTTAACATTACCGCCATCACATTCTGTTTATACTCTGTTTATCGGACAGCCACGACATTTCCTCTCAACACGCAACACATCTACAGCGCTGCAGACACTGCGGAGCTTGTTGCCGACTCTACATCCCTGTACCTAATGTATATTGAGGATTACTGAGCACATTAATCCATCCATCCTGCATTGTTTCAGATACACAGACTGTGTAGAAAGATAAGCTTCTGTGTTCATATTCCTCTTGCTTTAGGGTCTGCAGCAGCTTCAACGAATCCACAGCTCATTCTGCAGCACCACGCTGAGCGCACATGCTGCCTGAGTCTGTGAGCACTCTGCACTGCAGGACATATGGCTGAGGATCAGTCTAGTAGGCATGGCTCCAGGTGTAGGGGTGTGCGCGCGTGTGTGTGTGTGTGTGTAGCAGTGCACTCAAGGGCCACGAGGGGAAGTAGTGTGTCGACGTGGACCCAGATCCAACAGTCACATCTTAAGGAGTCATTAGAGCGGATGAGACGAGCCCGATTCTGTGGCTGGAGACCAATCAGGAACTAGCACAGTTTACAGTTGTCCTGACTTGGACAGGTGACACAAACACACACAAACCAACCACAGCGTAAATGTTTACAGAAAACATTCAAATATTTAGAGGGCTGGGTATCCAATACTTCAATATTTTAGCATGTACCAACAAAAATGCTTTCCTTTCTTTTTTTAGCTGTGCTTAAAGTTCCAATTGACATCCTATATCTTTTCCATTGTCATTAAATCCCATGAAAAGATCACAACCAACAACTGATTGATACTTCTAACTAGGGCTGGATGAAAGGAAAGAATTTCATATCATTCGATATCGATAATTATCACGATAAATGTCAAATGATTATTTCCTTCAAGTTTAATGGGTGATTTTTGCTCCTGAGTGAAACCAGATGGTTATTTGTGTGGTTATACTTTTATTTATGGTCAGAACATGAAGAACAAACAAAGATTTGTCTGTGTATCCAAACCCTGATAAATTTTATTCCTCTGTGCCAAAACTATTGTAAACACATCACCGAGCCACAGTGTTGCACTGGGTGACATGTTCCTTTATAAGATGAACACACACTGTAGTTCATTTTGACTCAATCTCACATTCATCCTGCATTTACTGATTTAATTTGCCCACAAACACGTGATCCATCAGCAGACACGGAGCAACACTACGTTCATCTGATGTCACCTTTGAGGTTACCTGGTGAATCCAATATTCACTCTCCTTTTAGCGCCGTTATTTAGTCTCCACCAACTCCTGAGGGAAATATCCGTCTCTTTAGCTGCTAAATGCTCCAGCATGTTCACCAGCTGGTCCCTAACAGCAGTTAGTGTACACTGGTTTCATCAGAGCTTCGGACGCTAAAAAGCGCTGTAGAGCTGCGCTGCAGAGTCTGGTGATTCTCAGTGGGTTCATCACCACAAGTGACCCTTTTCACATGCCAAGCTGTCATGTGATCCATTGTTAGTTTATAAATATACATACAGCCACTTTAAAGATTATGTCTTCAGCCAGAATAATGGGTCCTGATGTCACATACAGAGAAGGGAAGCTTTGAAATATTGAAAGACACAATGTTGGTGGTTTTGATCTTTTCATGAGATTTGTTGACAATAATAAAAAAACAGAATAACGGCAGCTTTTTCCTTAAAATTGAAAAAAGGGTTTGTATGTAAACATTTTTTATAGTCGTAACTGTGAAGTAGAGCTGCAACTTATAGCAGATTCATTCATTCAACAGAAAATTTTGATTATCAATTAATCATTTAGGTTAATTTTCAGGCAAAAATGCCAAATGCTTTCATTGGTTTGCTTGTATATCTTGTTTTACATGAAATTACAATATAGACATTTGAAGACATCAACTTGGGCATCTGAAAATGTTTCATAATGTTTTGATGTTTTATAAACCAAAAGATAAATCAAGAAAAATAAGCAACAGATTAATGTGTAATTAAAAATCATCATCATTAGTTTCAGCCCAATTTGTCAAATAAAATGCATCATGTTGGCTTTGAAACAGAAATTCAGGATTTCTTATTGGCACTGGTGTCAAAAAATAAAAACTGTACAGAATGCATGCAAGTATGAAACTCACTATGGTCAATAGCTTCAGTAGTTTCATAAGAAATCAGTAGAGCGCTGCCAGGCCTTGTGTAACTGGAGCTGTTTGCGAAGCGTTTACAGGAAGATTATCGAACATCACTGGCCTGTGGATTGTGAACCCTCCCTGACTGACAAGCCTAAGCAGCACCATCCAAAGTGTAGGCAGCTTATTGAGCTGCGATTGACTAAACACAGCCAAATCTACACGTATAATGGAGGGCTGATCAATGCAGCCCATCTAAGAACGGAAGCAGATTTTAGCCATCCGTTTGACCTTGGATACAGGAACAATACAGAGTGGTTATAAATACCAGCTTTTCTCTTCACTAATGCACATTAAAGCTCTGGGCAGCACGGCAGAGAAACACTTCACTCTGTGTTAGCGAACATTCACATGGAAATTACAGCAGGGACCAAAAGACAACAAAAGTGAAGCTAAATATAACATGAATATGCGGTTCTGCCACCGCTGCTGCGGTTTCTTTTCATGTGCAGAGTTAACGTCACAAGCCTCACTGAGGCAATGCCACGAGAAAGAAGCATCTCTTAAAACAAGTTGTGTCCCATTTATCCAGAATCCAACAAGCCTTCACATCTAAAACAACTGCAGGATCTAAGTCCCATTCACGTACGATCAAAGAGCCGATCAACTGATGAAAGAACATGAGGGGGGTTCAGTCATTATTAATCACACAGTTCTCAGATCGGTGTGCTGTCAAAGAACTGATATTTAAAATAGCACAGTGAGAGGCTTAGGTAATAGTTTTGTCCAACCAACAGTCAGAAAACCAAACACATTAAGCTAAATATAAAAACAGCAAATCCTAACATTGGAGAAGCAGCAACCAGAGACCAAACTGAACAGAGTTTTTATGCACAACACATCTGGAGGAAACTCCCAGAAATCTTTTGCTCCAAACCTCAGTTCTTTTAAATCAATGTTTAAAACTTTTAGTGAAATGCCCTTTAATAAATTAAATCTGGGATTACTTTGCCTCCTTTCACTATATACACTGTACATATTATTCTAGTTTTTAATTCTATTCGATCTTGTGTTTTTATCTTCTATCTTTTAAATCCTATTTATATATGTATTTTATATAACTTTGTGTTTTTCTTTCTCTTGTCTTAATAGCTTTTGTGTCTTACTATGTGCAGCACTTTGAACAGCAATGTTGTTTGAAGTTGCTATATACATAAACTTTCCTTAAAAGCCATTGAAAACATTCTCTCAAATTTTAAATATGTCTATGCATTAAATTCTCATCTTTAGGTACTATTTATTAAGTGTTTATCAAACCTGAGCTAATCTGCTCCATCTGGACGGTGTGGGTGTATTTTGATTCAGGGCTGCAACTTACGATTATCATTATCAATTAATCGGACTATTATTTTCTAGATTAATCGATGAATCATATTGTTTATGAAATGTTTGTTTTTAAAAAAAAAAAAGGAAAAATATGCAGTTAACGTCCTTATATTTGTTTTATAAGAACAGTCCAAAACCCAAAGACATTCAGAAAAGAAAAGAAAAGCATTCATCTGAGAAACCAGACAATGTGTGGCATTTTTGTGACTAAACAATGCAGCTCTAATTTAAGTTTTTTATGCTGTCTGTTTCTTTTATATTTCATCTTCATGCCTTTTTATGTCTTCTGTTCAGCACTTTAAATTGCCTTGTTGTTGAAGGGTGCTAAACAGAAAGAGAAAGAGAGAGAGAGAGAGAGCTGCTGGCTGCTTTGTAAACTGCAATACTGTCATCATGGCGGTGGTTTCGGAGCCTGTGACTGGCTTGTATCGGTGCACACAGAGGCTCATTGACAGGGTGGAGGAGAGGGTCAATGTGTCCCAGTGGGGCTGCAGTGCCAGGGAGCTCCTTCCACAGAGCTCGGCTGGCAGACTTACAGCCGCTGGTGCTGTCAGAGGCCGACAGAGAGAAGCCACGAGGGGAATGCAAAGAGAGCTTATGTTGCTGCTCTGCACACTGCACTGTCAAGTGGTAGAAGTAGTATTCAGATCATTTGCTTAAGTACTAACTAGCACTGTAAAAATACAAGTCTGTTACAAGTGAAAGCCCTATATTAAACATTTCCTGTAAAAGTAATTCCTCAATGCAATTGAAAGATGTCCCCTGTGGCTTTTGTACTATAAAATATTCTCATCATCAGATTATTATTATGTAAAAGCAGGATTTTACTGTTGTAGTTGTTGAGGTGGAGCTCATTTTGTTGTAATGTTTGTTATGGATTAATCTGCTGATTATTATTATTTTATCGTTAATTGATTTGTAAAAACTTCCGAGAATAGTAAGAAATGCCGTCACAATTACCTAAGATGACGGCAAATGCAATGTGTTTTTCAGTGAGCTTAGCAATGACTGCCATCATTCATCACAACTGTGTCTATAAAACAAGTATTTTTGACAGCAGTTTTAAGTTTGAAATATTTCAGGGAGTAATGGAACGAGAAGAAGCAGTCACACTGAGCTGCAGCACACACAGTGATAAGACGTCAGCCCGCTGAAGTGAGATGCTTCGCTGAAGTGAGATGCTTCACTCTGAAGATAAAACAGAGCGGTCAACAATAGCGATGTGCAGCATTAATAAGCTGTGTTTTTGATAATTAAACCATTATTCAGGTACTTCCTCCAAATAAAATTATGAACCTGAAAATGAGCATAATATGACCACTTTAAAACAGCAGCAGTTTTGTTTTGCTGCCTGCAGAATTCTGGGACCTGTAGTATTAAACCACATATGCTGTTGCTTCAGTGACTGGGTATTGCCAAATAAAACAGGATTCAGGTGTTAAGGATTACAACTTTAAAAGCAAAGTACTTGAAAAAGTAAATGTATTTTGTTACATTCTTCAACCAATTATTTTTTATTCCTCCACTTTGGAATGATAAAATATTCAGAGGATATCTGTATTCATAAAAAAACAACCAAAAACAAAAAAAAACTATATTTGTTCATTATGACAAGGACCAGAGACTGATGTATGAATCTCACTCTCACATTCACTAAGGACAACGTGGGCTGTGCTTTTATTTTATATTACTAGTACATTTGTTAGACTGTTGTGTAATGAGAAACCGTAAAAGGGGCAAACATGGAGATAAATTTACTGCTGTGAAACAACCTGTGAAAACTGGTTGCGTGGAGTTTGTGTGGAGGTGTGTATGTAACAGTTTCTCATTTAGGTCTAATGAAAGACACTATCCAGATGCATTATGGGATATGTAGGACCCTAGGGTTTCTGATTACAGGCTAACGCCTAATTTCCACTGCATGGTACGACTCCGCTCGCTTTTGGGGCCAGGTACTTTCTTCCGTTTTATTTTCCACTGCAGATAGTACCCCCTCAAAGCAGGTGGGATTCTTTCCTGTTCGTAATAGTGACGCCGCATGAAACTACCATGACATTCTTTTCAAGGACACACAAAACACATGAACTCTCACCTTTCATCTGCAACAAAACAGAGGAACATGTGCATAATTGAACACGACGTGGTTTTGTGGGCTTTCGTTTAAAAAACTGTCTGGGAGTGAGTAAAAATATTTGCAGTGTTTTAACTCCACCTCTTAGTATCAGCTGACCCCAAAGAAAAGTACCAGGTATAATCCACAACCTTTGTCGATGGTAAACCAAAAAAAAGAACAATTCCAAGCGAGCCGAGCAGCACAATGCAGCGGAAACAAGGTATAAATGTCAGGATATCTCAGCCTCTGCAGCACAGATTTTTACCATTTGTTTTTTAAACTTTATGGAAGTACAATTGGTGGAAAAATATAAGCAAGATTGTGGATGAGAGAATCAAAAAGAAAATGAATGGTAAACATCATCTTTGATTGTGGGAGCATTTATCACTACTTTCTGACATTTTATAGACCAAATGATTAATCAATTCATTGAGGAAATAATTCTCAGTTCAATCAATAATGAACAAAAATAGTTAAGATACTATCACAGGGTAAGTTTAATGTGTAATGAGTAGGGATGGGGATGGATACCCAGTTCTAATATGTCTCAAAACCCGAAAATCAATAAGGGGTATCATCAGACTGCAGCCTCTGTCTGCTCTCTGTCGGCTCCTACATAAAACGTGTCTGTACATACACACACCCCCAGTGGCCAGCAGAGGGAGAGGCCTCGTGGTCGCGGTGGAGACGGTGAAGTTAAGTTGGCTCCAAACTACTCGAGTTGCCGGCTTTGCTGTGACAGCAACACTCGTTACTGTAAAGTCCTGGATATACTTGCTTTTAACTATGCGTTTGAACCCTTGGGCACAAAGCCGTTTGCGTCGCCGACGCCTGTCTACGCCTATACTTTGTTAAAAAGCAAGTATATCCAGGGCTTAAGTATGTGCAATAAAGCCTTTGCGAGTAAAAAGACAATATTTTATCTATACCTACACCTGTGTGTAGGGTAAACATGTAGAAAGGGCTCATTTAAACTGCTCTGTCCTCAGTCTCTCATCCTGTATGTTTTATACACGCACAGCTAACGTTAGCTTGGCATTAGCCAAATGTTACAAACAACTTAAATTGAAAGTAATCTGTCCGTAGCAGCCGCTCCTCCTTCTACCACACAACGTTACCTGCAGGCAGTGAATAACAGCAGAGAAGAGGAGGAGGAAGAACTGATACTGACTGAATCTTTTTTCTAAATGCCATTCAGTATTGTGATATCAGGTGTTGAATTTATTTGCTGTTGTAAACAATAATGTTGCTGCTCTAGAAACAACATTTTGTTGTATTTAAAATATTAAATTCTAATCCTATAATTAATTAAAAAAACAACCAGGCAGTTAATATGCACACTTCAATATTTGTCTATTTATTGCAAGTCATGTGTTATCTCAATTTATAACAATGTTATCCCACATTAAATATTTACATCTTACCGTGCAGGCCTACCTCATGCCCGTTGGGTCTGGTCTTATCAAATAACCATCACCAAATAATAGTACAGTATCGATAAAGACTGATCGTTAAGCAGTCTCATTAATGGTAAATTAATGATCCCCATCCCTAGTATTGAGTGTAATATTCTATCCTTTATGCTTACCCAATAATAAACAATCATGTTTGAACGTTTGCAATAAAAGTTTCTGTGACTATAAAAATGAAAAAAAAAATATACCACAGACTACAAGAAAGGGTGCTGTTATTGATATTAAAAAAGACAAACAGAAGCAAACCGATAAGTGTGGAGGGTCAAAGTCAGCACAGGGATTTTTGTTGTTTTTGATAATCCACCCTTCTCAAAAAACACAGCCACTAAATGCGACACTGCCAAGTGTAAACAAAGTGCAGCGAGGCTCAGCGTTCGCAGCTTAAAGCTCCATTCATGGAACAACACAGGGAGGATCATGTGTTCGACTCTGAGCCAAGTGAGCATGTGGTGCTTTTGTTCCTCCTAAAATGACTCAAATGGATACCTGTACATGAAGAATGTGAGCTGTGGGGACACTGGTGTGCATTCATCTGCAAACAAATAAGGTGCAACTTGTCACCAGAGGAAAACTAACATGTCATCTACTGAAAATAAACAGCCATGGTGTCCTTTAAACAAATTAGCCAGCAGTGTCTGCTGCAAGGTCGATTTAACTCTTTAATGGGTGAACACCACTAAGACATAAAGCTTTTAAAAAAAGATTTCAGTAAAGCAAGTTTCTTCCAACGGGCTTGATTCCGAACAAGCACAGAGGAAATCAAATGGGAAAGTGCTGTCAAAAGCAAATGTTTAGGTTTTTAACATTTGATCGGACAAAGCAAGGTCAATATTGATTACTCCATTGACAGAAAATAATTTAAATTAATGAATGAAGCAAAATCACAGCTTCTCAAATGTGATGATTTGCTGCTTTGTATCTCTGAATGCTGAATATCTTTGCGTTTTGGACTGTTTGGAATTGTTGACGGGAATTTTTCGCAACTGTCTGACATTTTTTATATATATATATATATATATATATATATATATATATATATAATTAATCAATCAAGAAAACAACTGGCAGATTAATTAAGAATGAAAAAAGTATAGTAACAATTATCACACCTTGGGTTCTGAGAAATTGTGATGGACATTTTCCATTTTTTCAACATTTATTATCATTGTTTAAAAGAAGACTGTATTCTGAAGATAATCAAAATGATTGTAGTTGTAGCCCTAAAGAAGTGATACATAAAAAAATCCCCAACCCCCAAAAATGAATACATAATGAGCAAACTCACCTGTGGTTTCAGCTCTCGTTGTGATCCTTGAAGAGGAGTCAGTCTCCTGTCAGGCACCTCTGTCTCCCAACAACAAAACCAAGGAGCTAAGGGAGAGAAAACACAAGGACACATTTTAATTAATAAACTCCCTGCCTCTTTCTTTCTGCACCAGGCTGTCTGGCGAAAAAACCCTCGGACATCTCTGCCAGTCCTACTTGTGTCTTAAATCATGATTTAGAAACCACAAGATTTGGCCGAGTGTAATGAGAGTTTGAAAAGATTTGACGGCGGGAGTTTTGGGTGGTCGGTTGGTTTGAGACCAATGTCACCTCTGTTATGGGCTGCGGCGGGCAAAGGCTGCAGCCTTCCTCCTATCTGCGAGTGAACAGGAAACCGGTAGGAGAGGAAGATGCTCCATTGCCCTCGGGAGATACCAGCACTCGGCAGACGCCAGCCATGCCAAGACCACAAGCCCCCACTCGGTTATCTCGCCCTCCTCCTCAGCCTCGCCTCCTCTCGTCTTTCCTTTCATCTCTGAGTCATTGTAAAGTGTAATGAAAGAAAGCTGGATGAATAATTCAGCAGATACAGCATTTAAGAACTCCCCTTTTATGTCTTTCTGATAACTCAGGACACGCAGAATTTACACATCGAGTGCCACACAATGATTTTTTTTGTTTTTAGTCCAATATGGGATTCCCATTAACAGAGTTCCCTGTTAATTATGTTCACTTTATATAAACCCTAAATCGGACACCACGTCTGCTGCAGCGTCTCTTCAGCCGGTGTTTTGTCTGATCACTTCAGGTATGTTTAGGTGGCAAGCTGCAGCATTAACTCTTCATTTACAAAAGAGGTCTACAGGGAAACAGGGTCTGATCCGTTTAGATCTTGTCAAACTAAAATGGGATTAGAGGTGTTGAGCATCTGCCCCCTCAATCTGGGTTTTAATAGAGCAAGAGCAGATGATCCGGTCTGACAGTGTCCTCCTCGGTACACCTGGTCCTGGGAAAGGAAACAAGCCGCGATCCGTGTCATGAGGCAAGATCACAAAGATGGCAGATCACAGAGCTTGAAAATAAAAAGCACATGAGACCTCGACGATTGCACAGCGCCAATATTTAATTCACAGACGACAGTCTTTGATTTTAGACGGCTGGATGCTGAAAAAATTACGAAATATTGAGTGAAGGAAATTCAGGTATTTAAAAAGAGGTTTGGTGAGATGCTGCACATGGAGGATGAGTAGATAAGATTTCATGAAATGAGGGCAAGACTGGGAAGAAAAAAAAAAAAAAACTATTTCAAAGGCGACTCAGCCGAAGAAGAGAGAAGAAATGCACAAAAGCTTCTTAAATCATGTCAGTCGCACTCTTGGGGATTTGGTATAGGCAAGGCCGTCTCAGGATATGTCAAACACCACCCTTTCCATCTGCCAATCGCAAAAAGGCACAGATTAAAGTTCTTGCTGTGTAGGCAAAGTGTGTAGGTGGAAGATGTAAACAATGTGACAAAAATATAAATCCTCACATGGTTGAATTAAAGAAGATTGGGGAAGACTGAATCTTTCACCCCCCAAAAAAATGTAGGCCAATGTCTGTTTTTTGCAGACACACTATTACCAAACGATTGTCTGCATCATTAACAAAGATGTAGATAAATATCAAAGAGGAGGAGAGATGTGGGTGAGACAGAATCAGGCTGGCGCACCCCCCTCTGCGCCGTTTCCTGTCTGATGTTTGGCTATATGAACCGAGACGAATCGTACACAAGCAATATTTGGGATGAGGAGCGGAGGCAGTGGAGAGGAGTTGGGGGAGGGGGTATGGAGGAGGGGAGCTCCCTTCCCAAAAGGCCTGAAAGGTTGGATGTGCGCCATGTATGTCTGAGAGCAATCAAACTGAAACACAGGGATCCTTTTTAAATCTGTGCCAGGCAACCTCCACACCCTGAAAGGAAACACATCATGGGTCCTCCATCTCCGATACAATGCAAACTGTGTTGTCAACATTGAGGCTGCGCTGTCCACCACCACCGTACACGTTTGGCAGATTTATGACACATTGTTAGCTACAACCAAAACAATCCGACACGATTCTGTGGTTGCTCAGGCCAAAATAAAAAAACGAAGCTGTGCGCTAGCAGTGCTCAGTTTGCTGCTGTCCTGAAATGTAAGCTAGCCCACGGACATTAATGCTAATCTAAACACACACACACACACAGCAGATCAGACCTGCCCTGTCCTGAGTGTCATCTCAAGTCCACTCATGTCAAGTCAACACCATAAAACCTCACAAAACATGTGTTCCCTCACTGTCACATCACTTAATTCTCAAACAATTCTCAAGTAAATATGGGCACTACTGCGGCTTCATTTTGACACAGAAACGCCGTCACAACAGGCAGATGCAGCGAGAAGCCCAGAAAACACCATGTCAGCCGTTGAAATTCAAATCAGGTTACTGATTTACAAATCCCCCTTCGCTAAAGCACACATTCTGGGTCAGCTCACCTTGCTCCCGCTGCCTTTTCAGTCATCCAGTCAGCACATCCGAGATCCCCTCACAGCAGAATGAAACGTAAGGCACCAGAGGAACACAAGAAAAGAGAGCGACAGAAAAAGGCCACAACCTTACATGTCTGTTTTCCGGCCGCTGAGAGGATTATTTTCCCCCCGTTAAAAGTGCCGTCACCCTGTGAGTGTGGCGAGGAAGCCGGTTTCCTCTATGCTATAGCTAGAAAAGGCCTGTCCTTGGGCATGTGCATTGTGTGTGTGTCTGTGCTGTCTGCAGAGGCTGCCGTGTCTCCCATTGTTCCAGGGTGAGTGAGGCAGGCTTCCTACTCCAATAGACCCTGCCTACTACAACAGCTGTGGACCAGCCCCCACCTCTCTGCTGCTCTGGTTCTCCAACTCCCCTCCTCCTCCTCCTCCTCCTCCACCACCAACTCCTGCTGCTGCTGATGCTAAACATTAACCCTGCAGCTGCCGGCTCAGGACATAAAGAGGTGGAGAGGGGGGTTGTGTTTCAAAAGAGAGCCTACCATGTAACGGACAAAGGAACGTAACAGAGAGAGGATATCCGACAGCCGGGCTGAACTGACAGGCATTCAGTGCCCTAGAAAAAAAGAAAAAAAAAAAATACTACAGGCTCTGAGCTAAGAGGATTGTCTTTCTCAATCACACTGGTGGTAAGTGTTGAACTGAGTCCTGTGAGACTGCGCTGAGGAGAAGAGAAATCACTGGAGATCCAAATTCATTCACAACAGGAACTCTAGTAAAACTAACCGTAACTGTTATTTTCATGATCAGCTAATTTATTTGGTCCATAAAATGCTAGAAAATAGTGACATAATTGTTTCCTAAAATCAAAGAAAAGTTATAAATGTTCCACTCATAATTTAAAAAACACAACAAAAACTGATCTAAGGGATCTGTGTCAAGATTGTTTGTTATTTATGTATAAAAAAAATGTACTATCATCAGATATATCCTGGTGACAAGCTTAAGTGAAAAGCAGAAAATCTTACATTTAAGAAGCTGAAACCAGCAAATGTATGGCATCTTTTAGGGCTGAGCAATTAATCAAAATTTTAAATCAAAATCACAATATGGCCTACTGCAATTTTCAAATCACAGGAGGCGCAATATTTGTTAAAGGTTGTGTCAAAATACCATTTTAAATTAAATATTGTCTTGATGCAGAGATGTCCTGGCCTATACACCATATTATAGAGACTTAAGAAAACATCTTTGTTTGGTAGAGATCCCCGCAAAAATCACACCAGTCATTCCCCCAGTATCGCAAATCATATCGCTATCAGTCAAAATAAATCACAATCAGAAATTTTTTCAAAATCGTTCAGCCCTTCCATCTATGCTATTCCAAAATGATTCACACTATGTAGGGTTGCGACTGTTTTCATTATCAATTAATCTGGAGCTGCAACGATAGCCGATTGGTCAAAACGACAGAAAAACTACTATTTTGATCTAAAATGTGATGATTTGCTGCTTTTCTTTGTTGTATCTGATTGTAAACTGAATATTTTGAGAGTTTTGGACTGTTTGCAGCATGATCATCTCGGGCTCTGGGAAATTAGTTGTCACCTTGCACTATTATCAGATCTTCTACAGAGAAACAGATACAGAGAAAATGAATGGCATATCAATCAATACTGAAAATAATTGCTAGTTGCAGCCCTAGATGAATCTGCTGATTATTTTATTGATTGGCCCATAAACACTTTTCTAACACCTGTCTTAAGTGCGTGTTTTGTCCAACCAACAGTCCAAAACCCAAAGATATCAAGTTTTATATCACATAAAAAAAAAAGCTGGAACTAGTCAATATTTGGTATTCTGCGCCAGAAAAATTGAAAAATGTACTTCATAGTTTCCCAGAGCTCAATGTGATTTATTTAAATTGCACGTTTTATCTGACTAACGGTCCAAAACCCATAAAATATTTAGTTTACAATCACACATAACAAAGGAAAGCATTAAAACTTCACATGTGAGAGGCTGGAATCGGAAATGATCTGGAATTTGTGCTTGAATAATCGTAATAGTTCCACAGGATTACTACAGCCGCAGCATGTTTCAACTATCTGTGTCGTGTCTGAACTGGTCAGCAGCGTTGAGGTTTTCCACACGTATCTCAGCACAGTGTCTCGGTGTGGTTTTATCGCTGCAGGTTTTCACCCTCTGTGACTCATCTGCTCTCGTTGTTAATGAAGCCACATCATCCTCATTCCCCCAGACATGCCAGACACACTAAACCAAGTCTGATGACAAAATGACTAGGCGCCTAGGCAACAACAGCAGGAGGAGGAGGGAAACACGGGTTTCATTACTTGAATGTGGGAGGATAATACAATAAAGATAATAGATAGCAAAACATCTTCTCTCTTTTATAAACAACTAATTTGAAAGTTGAGCGATTCCTTTTTCAATTTGACCCTAATTGAGCAGACGAGAGACCTGACCTGAATCGACTCAGCCCCACACCAGACTTCCTATGGTCAAAATCAAGTGCCCCAGGGTGCTCACATGAATGTCAGTTGTTTCAAGCAAATGTCATTCAGATTTGACCAAAACAGTCTAGCTAGTTTGTATACAAATGTCCCAGATTCACAGGAGAATTTCAAATTCTATGTCTGACATGAGCGAGAGGCGAGCTATGCTTTCAAGCAAAAAGAAACTGATGAATCCAATGTGGAAAATCAGGGGAAACCCGAAGACAAAATACAAGTGAATCAATTCAAATGACATGAGCGCCTATAAAAAGGAGAGCTGCACAGGTCATCAAGATTTAACCACGACAAAGAATAAACACACGGCAGACGCTGAGCTTCACATCAAAAATCACCCAGATCAAAAGGAGCTTGTGTCTGTTGAGGTTTTATCCTCTTATTACTAACACATATGGCTGCCCTGCCCAGTCTGTCCTCATCTCCAGGCCTCTAATCTGTGTCCACCTAGTGGTTGACAAAGAGAGAACCTGAAACTGACCTGAGACTGGTTAACAATCTTGTCTTAAAAAACATTACTGACTAGCGTTAAATATATATGCAATTTGAATGACGTCACTTCTGACAAACTGTACCCCGCTCTCCATTAAACACCAGCCACGCTCTGAAATCTACAGCATAACACAATGTAGGTTTCTATTTCATTAAGTAATAAAAATTCTATCTAAAACAACATGTTACAGGCTAACATGTATATTAGATTGTTCTTTGCATGGAATTATAAATGACTTTTCTTTGTTTTAAATATCGGCATTACATATTTGCCTTGGGTCACCCTGCTCGACCACATGTAACAAATTTGAAAGCCAATCGCTCTCTAGCAAATGCCAATGCAAGGCAAACTTGTCAGTACCAAGAGCGAGAGTTCGCATTAGCATAAAGAAAGTTTTGACTATCTACTAATTTGAACGCACTTTAAATAGTAGCACCACTGTATGTTTCACAACCACTAACGCTGTGTCCGCCACTGCCAGTTAGAAGCTACCAAACTACACAAACAAACAAAAGATGCTAACAACAATTACCATTCTGATACATCTGCTATGCTGAGTTTAGCTCACAACAGACTCCTCATCTTAGTCTGCATTTGTAAGCTGTGAATGAATCTCTCCAGTGTTTCCTCCAACACTAGCCACCTTGATGCTCTTTTACCGTCAACCTAGCACAAGTAGCGGTGGCATTCATAGATCCATAGTAGATGTATTTCGAGCACTTGTTTAGAATGTGTTTTTTTTTTATGTGGGAAAACCATGTTAAACAAAATATTAAAATCATGGTAGAGTATTTGTATTCATACTTTAAAATGTGTCTGGAGGGGAACTTAAAGCAAAAGTCTTGCATGACGTAATGTAGCACAAGTACTAATTATGCAGAATTACCCATTTCAGAATAAGATATATATTATTGGATTATAATTAGTGATGCATGATTATGTAGATCATATTGCAGCTGATAGATAGATAGATAATCTGAATCTGCAAAGTAACTACTAACTTAAGCTGTCAAATACATGTAGCGGAGTGAGTACAATGTTTTCCTCTGAAATGTAGAATTTGTTTTTCCATTTACAAGGTCTTCAAGGTTTTTGCTGCTCACACACACACACACACACACACACACACACACACACACACAGGATGTTGGCCAACTATCGGGAGCAATTTGGGGTTTAATGTTTTGCCAAAGGACACCTCGACATGTGGACAGGAGGAAGTGGGGATCAAACCGCTAACCCTGCCTGTGTCAGTAGACGACCCACTATCTCCTGAGCCACAGCCACTCCCATGTAGCACAAAATGGGACTAGTCAGTAAATTAGTTACGATCCATCACTGCTGGTCATGATAAGATCCTATAATGCGTTTCCAACATAAGAGATGGGGGACAAAATCCAGAGGAAAAATATCTATTCCAAAATTAATATTAATCCAAGATTAATTTATCGTTGTCGTTTTAGTATGAACGTCTTTGTGTCACTGTCCCTTCACTAAAGCTCAGGAAGGATACTCTTGCAATGGAGATGCAAATCCTTGCTGCGCTGTGCTGACATGCATAGTCAAACCAAGCCATCACATGTGTATGGAAAAGGGCTATTAAGAGTACATTTCCACCCACCTGAGCATAAAAGCCAGAAAATTGAGAAAGAAATTACAGAAAGTATCACCCAAAAATTTCTTTACACTTGGCTGAGGTGGAAAAGTTGGTGTATCAATACAAGCGAAGTTCAATGCAAACAGACTTAGTGACTTACTTTTGCCGCTAAAGTTTGATGGAAGCCTGGCTGCTGTCCAGGGAAACACAACGAGGGACTATCATACTAAAAGATATCCTACAGATTTACCTAAAACTCCATCTATTCCACTGACGATAGGCTTGGAATAAATAAAAAACTTAAAAGCTGAGCTGCTGGTGATAGAAGTCACTGTTGCATGTATGACATTGTCTAGCCTTCAACGCTGCTTCATCCGTGTTCTCTGGCTCACCTTTATCATCAGGACTAAACCCAAAATACTCCATACAGGGGCAGAAGCATTTGACTTTTTTTACCTGTAACCCAACCATTCGCGGTCGCCTTCAAGGAGCTCCTTTTTGTGTGCGTGGTGAGCAAGAGAGTGAGTGAAGCACAGTGAACGCAGCAAGGAGCGGCTGTATTTATTTACGATATTGCAAGTCATACTTTCAGGATTTCTATATACACTGAAAAACCATAATTATGTGCTCCCTGATTTACTACCACTGAGGTGCCCTTGAACAAG